CCTGATAAGTGCCAGAAACCCGGTCTTGCAAAGCGAGAAGGCCCTCAAGTAGTGCCAGGAGCGCAAAAGGACCCTTACAACAGGGATAACTTCGATTGAAGAACGCCTGCACCTACGAAGAGTGTGTAACGTTGGACCCCTAGTAGCAGTTAGCAAAAACGCACCATACACATGCGCCGTGGGATACCCTTAGTTTATAAAGTAAAATTTTTATATCCTTTGCTTGTGTTATTTAAAACAAAGCTTGTTTTAAGTCCATAACACATTGATAATACCTAAGGCTTTTACAGCCAATAAATTAAATTAAAACAAAGGCCGCTATTCACCACCTTTAAGGGGGACCCTCCGGTCGTATAAGCTCTGCGATTCACCACAAAAGGGACCCTCCAGAGACTGATCAAAATAAAACAAAATATACACAATTTTTTTTTTTAGCGAAGAAAAAAACGTTTAAAATGAATCAAGATTCGATTATTAAACCTCTTGTCCTTAGACAACCCTCCAGTGCGCAAGCACCACCCAATCCATCCCAGCCTGCCAATGCCACCCCAGAATTTAGGGAGATCATAAGGAATCTTATGACAGAAATCCTCCAGACAGACAGTTCAATTCTACACAGAGATAATATACAACAAATAATGACAGACCAGACAAGTGACGAACGCTTTTGGGACAATATTTCAGATATGGACACAGTGCCAGATGTTGTTCGTGCCTTACGGGAATTTAATGGCAAGCATACTGAATTTAGTAGTTGGAATAAAAGCGTAGAGAGAATACTTAAAATCTACGAACCATCAATAGGTACGCCAAAATACTTCGGTATTTTGAATGTTATAAGGAAGAAAATAGTTGGAAGTGCAGATGCTGCAGTTGAAGCTTATAACACTCCACTGAATTGGAAGGCAATTTCTCGCTGCCTTACACACCCACTATACTGATAAAAGAGACCTTAGCACCATTGAATATCAGATGACCTGCTTGATACAAGGACGAAAAACAGTTCAAGAGTTTTACGCCGAGGTCTACACACATCTTTCCCTAATCCTTAACATACACACAGAACGAATGGCACTGAACATACCTGAGAGAAGACCAAAAAAAATGACATACGAAATTCAAGCGAGCAACTATTCTTAAAATTAAATAGAGTGATAAGTGAAACACAGATTATATACGTGTATGTACATCTATGTATGTACATAATGAATTAAATGAACTGAATTCCGAATTTAAAGACGTTTTATTTTAAATATCCCACATACATGTCAGGTTTTAAGTTTAGTTGTTATTACCCAAGCAACACGTTTTATATAGTTCATATTGTTTTGGGAAATTCTCGCTCCCGATTCTTAAAAAAGCAGATCCTAAAGAACCTATAGCAAAGACCTCAGTGCTAAGGATTTCATTTCAATACATCTCATTTCCTTCATTTTACTGCACTGCAGAGGATCATGGATCAATTCAAAAGGTGGCAATTTAGTCGGACGGCGCCACAGGCATACATAAAGGGACGCCAACTAAAACTGTCATATACGAGACATCACATAACCACAATGATGAAGAACCGATATTACACTAGTAATATCCAAGAACGAGAAGTTTCCGAATGCGCATAATAAGAACGAAATAATGAAAAAAGTCAGTGTGTTATCGGACGAGGAGACCCACATATCTCTATTATCACTACTGACGCTAATTTAGATCGAAGAATTGCATGTGAATACGTCATTAGAGACATTGAATCTCTCTCTCCTTGATTCACAAACAACACGAGGCGAAGAAGTATAATATTTGATAACCTCCCACCTGCATTGCCAAAAGATCATAACGACGCAGAAGAAAGAATTAAGGAAGTTTTCCTTAAGGAATTCGGTAGTCACTCTATTACACAGCGAGTAGACCACGATGTATATATGGACCCGAACATGAGTATAGAGACTTTAGTATGGATAAAGTACAACGATGCAGACAAGTTTTCGGTTTCTTAAATAAAATTATTTTATTACTTTAATCATCATCATCTAGGTCTATTAACCCTCAAAGCCAAATATACTACATTAAACTAAGAATATTATCAAGGACTTCAGTGGAGAAAAATCAAGTTCAATATTCGGCGCAACGGCGGATCCTGAAGTGGAACAAAGGATAGGAAAAAGGTGCTACAAAAGAGTAGATTGAGAAGGATCGCTCATTCTTTCTGTAGCTTTCATTTCATTTTATTTAACAGTATATATATATGTAATATATATTCGGCACACCTTGCAGTTTGTTATAAATTTATATAAATAAAAAAAAATAAAAAAGGATTGGTGTCAATATATGATTACTATCAGCTCCAAAAATCTAAACTGTGCAAAACTTCATTTGCTATTCAACTTAAAGAGAAGCAGGAAGCAAATGAAGAAGCATTGTCATCACATTGGATCGCCTGTGACTCTATCACAAACCCTAAATTTATGTGGCTAACTAAGCATGAAGAGGAGATTGAGAAAGCAGAGACATGCTTATTTCCCTGAAGACCCAAGGCGCTACGGAGTTAGCCAACTATGCAGCGAATAGTTCACGATCATCAGCCTCACCATTGGATGGCCCAAACTATATCATATAGATGGACATTCTATAAACTTAGAATTTAAACACCGACCAAAAAGAAAACCAACAAAAGCAATACAGGAAAAACTAACATACAACAAGGACCACAAAGAACCCTTTGTTGTATACATTGACACCAAGATTATCGGAAATGACCGAAGAGCAATCAACGCAATAGCCATCGCGGGGTTGTTAAAAAAAACTAAATTTCAATGGCATAAAAGAAATTAGCAAGTTAGACTTCGGTCGAACAAAAATAATATGCAACAATGCGGAAGAAGCAAACTAAATTGCTAACAGTGCAGAGCTTGAGGAAAAAGGATACGACTTCAAAATATTGCAACACCTCATCGCCAAAGTGGAAATATCCACGGACGAACTAAAAAAGGAAATAATCTCAACAATACTGATACATAAAGTCATAAGGGTAGAAAGAGGGACAAGGAGAATAAAATAGCGACTAGACGGGTGAAAATCCTATTTAACGGGCGGCAGCTCAGAATCATCAGAATATGTCATTTATGCACACCAACAAAATTCAAGTAAAGCCATTCACAGCCATGACCCAATGTTACAATTGCTTTAGGTACAACCACTTTGCGCAACACTGCAAAGAAAAGGTGGTCAAATGCAAAAAATGTTTCCAAACGCATATCGAAATGGAATTCATGGTAGAAGGATGGACTGCTTCTCTAATGATTTCTGTCGCGCCTGCAGCGACAAAGACGAGGAGGAGACGATGGAGCACTAACTCTGCCACTGACCCGCTCTAACTGCAGCACGACATCGTTTCCTAGGTAATATCTATTTTGATTGCTTAGCAGATATAGCGTCAGCAAGTGTCAATAATCTCATGTGTTTCATTAAACAAAATTAAGCTTAGCATTTAGAAAAACGCGATGAATCTCCTCTATAGACCCGACCATAGGTATTACAACCTAAGTGCGATCCATGAAGGATCCCCGTATTTGAACAACCCTAACTAACTCACTAACTGACTAATTACTCAGTATTGAGTTTAATTTTGAAATTCAAATATTTGTCATATAACTGTAAATTTTTTAAAGCTGAGGCCAAACTAACTATAAAAAAGCACAACAACCCTCAAGACAGCCGCACTGAAGTTGACCCGGATTATATCCGGCAAATGGCTGTCACCCTTTCGGCGACCTAACCCCATTTTAAAATGAACGCTGCAATTGAATTTCATATTTATGCTTAATTACTATATGTATGTACCACAAACGAGCCAAAACAGTCAGGCGTTCTCCTGAATTGGACCTCCCCAGACCACATATGGGCGAATTACGCGTAATGATCTTAGCGTACGAGTACACCCTTACAAGATCAAGCAAAATCATCTTCAGCGATGAAGCACATTACCGGTTGAACGGCTTCGTAAATAAGCACAATACGTGTTACTGGACCGGTGAGAACCCGCATGTGCTTCATGGAACATCGCTTCAGCCCACTATTCAATTTTTCGTACGGATTTCAAGCCGCTGGCGTCATTGGTCTGTTTTCGTCACGTTGCGATAAAAGGTGTTCGCTACAGACATGTTGGAACGTTATTTTTTTGAGCAATTGCATGAATTGGATATCAGTGATATGTGGTTTCAACAAAATGGTGCCACAAGCCACGAACCTGGTGTAATAAACGAATTATTGAAGTCATTCTTCGGAGAATGTGTAATCTCGAGAAACGTACCCGTGGATTGGGAAAAGCAATTGACGGTAAACAGAAGCAAAACCATGAAAAAACTCTCTAGAAAGGAAGTCTTCGCGCAATACGTCCTTAGAAAGAATAGAGTCAGTCTACTGGAAGTTGATGTGTACTCTATCCCCACGCTGAGCACTAACTCAAAGGATACAATCGATAAGTAGAAAATCATATAGTCAAACCATCAGAGGAGGTGCTAGTCGAGTTAGGCGACCATCCACCCAAAAAAAAAATAATAATAAATCACACAAATGAACAAGAGATATCTCTAAAACTAAATACAATTTTAGCAAAGAATTGACTATTATCATAAACTAAACAACTTAAACATTTTTTCACCAATTACCGAAGGTCATGGAGCTCGAGAATCACTACATGCAACGTCATCGTTTGACTGGCATTGTGTCCAAAAAAAACTGTATTTCGCGCATTAAGTAGCGGATAAATGTTATGTATGTAGTGGCAAATATATAAACTTAAATGAATATCCTTATGATGTATATGTATTGTAATTTACATTTAACATTTAATTACTTTTAAGCGCTTCTTAATACTAATATTACTTCATATTAATTCAAAAGTATATGCAAAATCATATACAAATTGAATCAAAACGATTCGAGACTTTCATAAACAAAAATTAATTGTCGAATGTATGGTATGTACATATAGTATGTATGTGCTTTTGTAAGTCTCCATTACTCAATTTATCTTAAAAATTAAATACCCACTTGCTTGCTTGTAATATATATGATTTTATGATGTTAGATTAGCAATTTTGATCTTTTCGTAATTTTGTTTCTTTAGTAAGCGGTTTTTGGCATGTTGAAAAAAACGCTGTATTGTACGTTGAAAATCATCGTTGGTTGTGTAATTGTATTTGCGTCGAAATGCCGCTTAAAAGTTAGAAAAGTAAAAATAGAACGAAACAAATATTTATTAGACTTGAAATTCTCTTAAAAATTTAGTAAAAAAAAGTAATAAAATTATGCCTGAAAAAGAAAACCAACCTCTTAATGCCTTTGTTACGTTCAATTCGCGTATAGCTGGCTTTTCTTGCGTTCCCGACCAACAAAAATGCTGTGCGACATCATCGGACATAATGCGACGCCATGATGATTTCAAAAAATTCTCCGGACTATTAGTGTGTTCGGCAATTAGATCATCAATCTGCAAAAAAAAATATTATTAATAAATTCCAAATAAATGTGTAAAAAAAAAAGAAAACACGAAATCACAGTTATAAATGATATGTATGAATATTGCTTTTTGTTGTTGTCGTTGTGGTTAAGTGTGGATAGGTAGAAATGAAATTGACTACAATATACAGATCTTAATTGTGTCAGAGTATTACTCGAGTCTCTTGTGGTGGCTCGAACACCTCGTGTGATATACGTGGTAATTGGTTTTTGAGTACGCCATTCGCTAAAAGAGAGTTATTAAAGGTGTTGACGAACTCTCAGTGAATGACGTTTAAAGCCAGCCGTTACACCTTGCTGTACAACGGTGTTTGTCTAACCCCTGCGGGTTAGGGGCTCAAGAATTTACCCGCGGTAAGGCATGCCTGTCGTAAGAGGCGACTAAAATCCAATAGTTCCCGCGACAGTCGGGTCTTTATACCGGAACGACCCGGATTTTTATCCGGCCAAGGACTGCCACTCCCGCAACATTCCCCAAAAAGTACTTTGGGGAATAATTTTGCGGTTACAACAACAACAACAACAACGGTGTTTGTCTATAGCACTGAATTGAGTCGGTATAGTTTACCATTCCCTTCCTGATGAGCTTAGGTTGAGGTTCATACTCAAGTAAAATCAGGAAACATCAGGAAGTTTCATGTCACAGTTTTGAGAACGGTGCTCTGGCACGCATGTAACTTATTCATCTCGCTAGTCACAAGAATTTTAGGACTTCACTCCTGCTCTGTACTTTAGTGACAATGAAACGACCTCTGGTGGTGGAGGAAGCTTCGGTATGTAGAAATTAAACAGAAGCGGGAAGGCGACACGACACTACGGTGCCCCTGGTTTAATACTAGCTTGGCTCTGACCCAGAGCTTGGTTTCCCTTTCAGTTCAGTTGTTCCAATGATAGACTTTTCGATATTAGCAGGAGTGAAATGTGCTCCCTTATATATTTATGCGAACGGAATTTTAGAAATATTTTTTTTTTTTTACTTAAACTCGACACTCAACTCACCAAATTTGCGGAGGCTTTTTTGGATTTTTTAATTAACTCTTCAAACAATTTAAACTCCAAGACGCTTTGAAATGGGCTTTCAGGTAAAACTTTTTTGCGCGTGGAATGTAGTCTATACTGAACTTCTTTTCGTGGCATTGATTGCTTTTGTTCTAAAGTAAAAAAAATATATATGTATACATACATATATACAATATTAATTTATTTTTAACCAAAAAAGAATTACGAAATTACCTCTATTCGTCAAAAAGTCGCCGAATTCAAGTCCATGATTCAAAACAGCATTGAAATTTCGCTAAAACAGAAAAAATAAGGAAATTAGAAAAATATTTTCTTAAGGCGTCAATAAAATATAAAAACAATAATAATAAGAATATATACTTCACATACACATATGTACATATACATACAAGTAATTATTTTTAAGCCCACCGAATTAAAAATCACGTATGAATAATATAAAAATTTTGTGAATTTCAAATAAAAATTTTGGAAATTTCAAATAAAACAGTTTGGTAATTTCAAACATTTTTTTTTTTTTTTTTTGTAAATAACATTTATAAATTTCGTTTTGTACATATTTTTTACAATGTGGGATCACAAAGATTGATGTGCCGTGCAGGACTTATTAACAAATTTTGACATTTTTTTATTGTTTGTTATTATTATATTATTGTTATTATCATATACAGATATGGATTTTGTTTTTTATGACTGTAAAACTGCAAAATAAAGTGAAAGATTTCGTTTCATTTCCATAAAAATTTATTTTTTAGTTTTTAAACTTTTATGAAGCTTATAAAGCTTTTATAAACTTACATATATATTTGTACATACATACACATATAATAAGTTCATGATATACACAATATATTATAGCATCAAATAAGTGGTAAATATCAAAACTTCTACATAAATAAGTTACTGCTAAGTTAAGAAACACACTAAATAAGCTTATATTTACATTAATAATAAAAGTAAAACAATCCATCGGTATTAGCCGAACTATTCCATAGCGGTTTGTAGCTTTTTCCTTTCCTTAGCTGCGTTTTTGTGTACTTTATTATTGGCGAGTTTAAAACCTTTTTTCATTTCCACCTCAAAATCAGGAAACGCCATTTCTTTCTTCTTTATAGCTTCTGTAAGCAAGCAAACAAATAAAACGAGGTTGTGATTGTTGAAACTTTGCGTATATTTAACCAAAAAAGAATTACGAAATTACCTCTATTCGTCAAAAAGTCGCCATACTCTCCATACCAAACAGATATGTGTTAAAAAATTTAAATTTGTTTAAGGCTCTCTTTTGCTTCTTTCCATCCCAGTTGATATCAAGCAAAAGTTTCTCCGTAAATAATAGTGTTACACACTTTGAAATTCCATCTCTACCCAAATGCAGTTTAAGATATTCCAACTGTGTAAATTAATATAAGAAATATAATCAAATTATATTAAAATGTAAATAAATACTTACGAACTCTCCTTTAGCATAATTGTCTAAATTTTCTTCTACTTCCAAATATTTGCTCAATAGATCGTAAGGGTATAATTTTGAAGTCCACAGCATTCGGAAAAAACTGTTCCGCTATACTCTGTCATCATTTGAGCTTGCTTCATTAGTTGTTGGCAAAGCATTTCATTTTCAGTTTCATAAGTTCGGTATGCCTTTTTTCACTTTGTTGCACTCCTACTTCCATGTTTTGTTTCAAGCTAGCGACTAAAATATATTTTAATATTTAGCAATTTAATATTTGTGTATATTATTATGAAAACAAATTATTACCTTCATTTAATAAATTGACAATTTGGTTTGGTGTTTCACTACTTTTTGGTATATTTCGCGAGCAATTGATTATGGGCGTACATTCAATACTTTCGTATAAGCCGATATATATTCTATATATATGTATGTAGATGAGTGCATAAGTTCGTGCCCGATTCCGCTGGATGCCGTTCGAATCGTTTGAGAGTGGCGTTCGTGAAAGAAATATATACATATTATATATCGTTGGAAAGGTGACAGTCCGAACTGTAAATCAAGCATAAAATAACTTCATTTTGATTTGAGTTGCTTAGTGAAAAGACGCATGGAAGATGGACAACGAAAAAGATCATATGCGTCATATTATGTTATACGAATTCCGCAAAGGAAAAACAGTAGGCGCTGCAACTAAAGATATTCGCGAAGTTTATTTGGACCGTGCTCCAGCACTCCGCACAGTAAAGAAATGGTTCGCGAAATTTCGTTCTGGAGATTTTAACCTCGAAGATCAACCTCGCAGTGGACGGCCTTCTGAGCTTGATGACGATGTTCTAAGGACTTTAGTTGCGAATAACTCACGTATTTCGACGGAAGAGGTTGCCAGTGAATTGAACGTCAACAAATCAACTGCGTTTCGTCGTTTAAAAAAGGTTGGGTACACTTTGAAGCTCGATACATGGGTGCCACATCAGTTGAGTGAAAAAAACAAAGTGGACCGTATGTCAACAGCAATTTCTTTGCTTCGACGGATCAAAAACGAACCTTTTTTGGATCGGCTCGTGACTGGTGATGAAAAATGGATCCTGTACAACAATGTTCAACGCAAAAGAACATGGAAACAGGCACACGAAGGGGCGGAACCGATGTCGAAAGGTGGATTGCATCCGATGAAGGTACTGCTGTGCATTTGGTGGGATATCCGAGGCGTGATCTATTTTGAGCTCTTGCCAGCTGGAGAAACGATCACTGCCAACAAGTATTGTCAGCAATTGGTCGAATTGAAGAAAGCAATTGATGAAAAACGTCCGATTTTGGCCAATCGCAAAGGAGTTCTTTTCCATCATGACAACGCCAGGCCACATGTTGCAAAACCGACCCTGGCCAAACTGAAGGAGATGAATTGGGAAATCATGCCGCATCCCCCATATTCACCCGACATTGCACCTTCTGATTATCATTTGTTTCGATCGCTGCAGAACAATTTGAATGGAAAAAAATTTAAAAATGTGGAAGACGTCAAAAACCACCTTGACACCTTTTTCAACGAGAAACCGCGCGATTTCTATGAATCAGGCATCCGTAAGTTGATTGAACGTTGGAAGTGGATTGCCGAACATGATGGCTTTCTTCAAAAAATTTCAATTTTAGTTTGCACTTGAAATCGGGCACGAACTTATGCACTCATCAATATATATATCCTGTATGACTGGCCGGTCAACTCACAACCTAAACCACTGTCAACTCAAGTGTCTTATAGAAAGAAAAGGTTTAATGATAAGTGGTTCTGGGAACGATTTATTCAAAAATCGTTAAATTGACATATAGAAAATCTTTCTTCCGAGAAGTGGAGCTGAACTCGACATATTCGAAAAAATCATAGTTTTGGCTCAATAGCGCTTAATATATGGTTCAAAGTTAACTCTTTCTAAGATAATATATAAATATTATTTCTCTCCAGAAGTGGATCTATACGTAAAAACTGAGCTAAGAGTTTGGTCGACCCAATAAAACATCAATAATGTCCCAAAAATGTTAAATTTATTTAAAATTTCCCTTTTGAATTTTTTAAGTAGTCTAAATTTTTTTATTTTTATAAATGGTTTTGTGTTATTTTTTTCGTTTTCATCAAAAGACTGATATAATAATATTGAAAATTGCTGAACTTCAGTGTTCCGAGCTGCTGCATGCCACAAACTACATAATATGCGTGTTAAAACCTATGCAGACCATCGCTGATTTCAAGTAGAGTTTCCAAACCGTTGCACTAAAATAAAATTGATGCATAAAAAAACTAATGTATGTATGTATTAACATCAAAAAATCTCACATGCGCAGCTGCATTAAGGCCAAAAGCAAGTTTTGCTGGTTTTGGCTCCTTTTTAACTGGGGACATAGCATATAAGTTGTGACGGCGCAATGCTGACAGCTCATATTGATAGGTGAATACTTTATCGATTTTCACACTTAACTCTAATAGAGGTAAAAACAAAAAATATAGTAGAAAAATATGCAATAATTAAAAGCTAATATCAATCACCATCCATATAAAGTAAACGTTGTCGTCGTTGATGATCTTCCAAGTCATGCTCTGATATATGCTCATGGAAATCTTGCGGTGAAGCCATGCGGGCATGCACAAGAAACTTTTTTTTAATACTCAATTTTTTTCAACTTATTTTTTTGTTGCAATGGAAACCAATTCACTCTTGTCAAAAATTAAATGTAATTTTTTATAATTTTTTAAATGTAAATAGCAAACAAATAAAAATGTTTTTATTTTATTTTTCTTTTGAAGATATTATTACTTACCTTTGTGGTAATTTTTCTTTGGTCTAATTATTTTAGCTGGATTTGCTTGGGCACTAAGTATAATATGCGTTCTTACATACATAAAACTATAATCATGACACATGTGTAAAAAAAAGGCATGACAAAATTTTAAATTCAACGTTGTTTTTCTACAATGACAGGTTTAATAGTGGATGAGTGCATAAGTTCGTGCCCGATTTCAAGTGCAAACTAAAATTGAAATTTTTTGAAGAAAGCCATCATGTTCGGCAATCCACTTCCAACGTTCTACCAATTTACGGATGCCTGATTCATAGAAATCGCGCGGTTTCTCGTTGAAAAAGGTGTCAAGGTGGTTTTTGACGTCTTCCACATTTTTAAATTTTTTTCCATTCAAATTGTTCTGCAGCGATCGAAACAAATGATAATCAGAAGGTGCAATGTCGGGTGAATATGGGGGATGCGGCATGATTTCCCAATTCATCTCCTTCAGTTTGGCCAGGGTCGGTTTTGCAACATGTGGCCTGGCGTTGTCATGATGGAAAAGAACTCCTTTGCGATTGGCCAAAATCGGACGTTTTTCATCAATTGCTTTCTTCAATTCGACCAATTGCTGACAATACTTGTTGGCAGTGATCGTTTCTCCAGCTGGCAAGAGCTCAAAATAGATCACGCCTCGGATATCCCACCAAATGCACAGCAGTACCTTCATCGGATGCAATCCACCTTTCGACATCGGTTCCGCCCCTTCGTGTGCCTGTTTCCATGTTCTTTTGCGTTGAACATTGTTGTACAGGATCCATTTTTCATCACCAGTCACGAGCCGATCCAAAAAAGGTTCGTTTTTGATCCGTCGAAGCAAAGAAATTGCTGTTGACATACGGTCCACTTTGTTTTTTTCACTCAACTGATGTGGCACCCATGTATCGAGCTTCAAAGTGTACCCAACCTTTTTTAAACGACGAAACGCAGTTGATTTGTTGACGTTCAATTCACTGGCAACCTCTTCCGTCGAAATACGTGAGTTATTCGCAACTAAAGTCCTTAGAACATCGTCATCAAGCTCAGAAGGCCGTCCACTGCGAGGTTGATCTTCGAGGTTAAAATCTCCAGAACGAAATTTCGCGAACCATTTCTTTACTGTGCGGAGTGCTGGAGCACGGTCCAAATAAACTTCGCGAATATCTTTAGTTGCAGCGCCTACTGTTTTTCCTTTGCGGAATTCGTATAACATAATATGACGCATATGATCTTTTTCGTTGTCCATCTTCCATGCGTCTTTTCACTAAGCAACTCAAATCAAAATGAAGTTATTTTGTGCTTGATTTCCAGTTCGGACTGTCACCTTTCCAACGATATATAATATGTATATATTTCTTTCACGAGCGCCACTCTCAAACGATTAGAACGGCATCCAGCGGAATCGGGCACGAACTTATGCACTCATCCAATATATATAATTGGCGCATTGTAACCGATGAAACGATTTTCTGCCGAGCGGTTTTGCGTCTGGACAATTTTCCAAATGGAGGGACCTACAGTTTTTATTAAGTCGCCTTCGAACGGCTGATGGTTTTTTTTTTTTTGAGGAGCTTTATTTCATGTCAGACATACACTCGGAGGGGTTGACATTCCCAGCCGAGGGCGACCACAATTAGAAAATTTAGCTGAATTTTATATTTAAATTATTTTTCCAAAACGTTTGGATGTTGGTCGCACGGGGATCGGTACCCGAGCCTTCCGAATGGCAGCATGCAATGCCATCCTAACTTAATCTAAGGATCTAGATACCCCATTGTATAGCTTTTGAGTGGTATAAGTAGTATAACTAAATAATTTACTTACTTGCGACACACGCCAATCTTCCAATAGGCCACGAAATCGTATACGCGCGCCAATATCACGTTGAAAAATATCTATAATATCCACCTCCTGTATGAACCTCAAATAATCTAAACCAATCTGCATTTCCTTCAGTTTGGGAAAGTAGGACTGAAGTTTATGTTTAGTTAAAAGTTTCAGGAACTGTTCATGTTGCGCACTTGACTCTATTTAGAAGGAAGAACAATTTTTTAAACACATTTTAACTATGCATATCTTGAGACTAAGCTATATACCATTCGTGGCCGCTTCCCCTGTTAACTCCCCATTTGTCACTGTATGACCATCTTCGTCATCATTATCTGCATTACCGCTATCTGACTCTAAATCACCATTATCGAACTGCGTATTAAGCTGGTCATTCTCTAATGCCGCTGCCCACTGTTGTTGCTCTTCAGTGGAAGCTTGTTCTTGTACTATTTTAAGTTTTTTAACCGTTCGTTCGCCATTTTTGTTTATATCATCACTTTGGCGCTTCCCACGGGTTATATTGTCTGAAGGTATAGGTGTTGTTGTCGTATTTGCATGATCATACACAACGGCCGTGTCGACAATATCCAATTCTGGCTCTACTTTAATTTTCGCTGTTACTGCATTCATGTTCGTAAACTTTTCAGTGTTTTCAATATTTTTAATATCTTTATTCATGCGAAAACTGTCTTCTGCTTCGGGCATAAAGGAAATGTTGTAATTTTCTGCAGGTATATTAACAGAGGGCAATATCCAATGGCGTTTCTTCTTTGATTTCCGCTGCTATTGCATTCATGCAGGTGAAGTTTTCTCCTTCTTCGTACATAAAAGAAGTGTTGTAATTACTCGAACCATCTGTTGATATTTTCTTTAAATAATTAATAAGACAAATAATGTTAAATTTCGAATAAGGCTAAGCAAAACGAGAAGAAATTGTTGTCTTTGGTAATGCCAAAGTCTTTATGCCTTCCATGAATATATATTTATATATGTATATACGTATATATATGAAATTAATTGTAATTTTATTTATTGTATTAACAAATCGATTTCGATTATTTTCAGTTTCAATATTTATTTGAATTTACGTATGTAGAATAACAAGTTTTATGTTCTTAGATGTTTTATTGAAGTATTTATGATCAAAAATCACATATCTCTTCAAACCGGTTGTATGGAACAAATCCGAAAAATTTGGCTTACATGCAAACGAACGGACAGTCAGATTGAACAAGTTTTTATGTTGAACATATTCTAGAAAATATTAAAATTTTGTCTATTTCTTAGCAATGAACTTGATATTCTTCCAATAAAAATATTTTTTCATTCAAAAGGGACTGCCGATAGAAGTGAAAACTTAGAATCTTTTGAAATTTGAAATTTCAAAATTTTTAAACTGAAACTATTAAATATTAATTACGCTTGCGAATAAAACTAATTTCTTCCATTTTTTGTCCAACCTTTCGCTAAATATTTTAGCATCTTCAGGGGGGGGGCCTAATTAATTGATAAATATCTAAATTATTAAAAATTAATCTGACTTTCATATGCATAGTTGACTGATATTGCTTCATCTAATTGTGGTACATAAACTATTTGTGAGGGAATATTTTTTTGTAGGTCAGCATTATAAAATGTATGTAATTCTGTAATGTTTAACTCATTTCGTATTTATTTGCTATTAGTATTAATTAATCAATTTAGCCGAGGCTCTTACCAGTTTTTCTTCATCTTCTTGTATTTTTTTTCTTTTACAATTATCTGAAGACATCGACAGGATCAATGATCTAAAAAAAATATGAAAAATGGATATGTAAAATAAACCCTAATATTTTATCTATTTATTTATTTTATCGTAAATCGAATAATATAAAATTAAAATACTAAAAATTAACATAATTTTAATTAATATGAAATAATGTAGAAATGCCAAATTTTTATATAAAATAACACCTTTTCTGCAAGGAAAAGTCGGCGTCTTTTTCATCATTTTAAAAAACAATAAAAAAAAATTTTAATTATTTTCTCTCTCGGCATTCTCGCACGCGTTGAACGTTAGTTTTCGTCTCTCTTTTTGACGATTTTCTAACGATTCTTTTATTCGTAGTGTGACACTTAAAACTGATGAATGAGGTTGGTAGGGCGATAGTCTTAATTTTTTAACATTAATATTTATTATTTTGCATTATATATAATAATGTTAAAAAATCAATTTAATTCAATAACAATCGATGCACAATATTTTTGGTTAACCTGTCTTTAGCTACCACAAATAGATTCCACGTGCAACATACTCGTATAGTTGCTCATGAGATTTTCCAAATCTAAACCACAAATGGACATTGTTTAGCCTTGAGACTGATTTATAGACATGGCAAAAGCTAAACGAATAGGAAACTGTAGCCTTCTGCTGGGTACAGTTCTTGTTGTTATTGTAACATCTACGTTTACCCCGCTTAGGAACGGGCTAATCTAGTATTTTTTTTGGAAAATATTTGTGCTGATGTATCATTTTGCAAACGTACACGCATTTTTAGAGTCAATCGAAGTGTTTCAACACTTCGACATGAGAATGATTAGCTGCAGAGATCAACTATTCACAATTTAATGTTACACATTGCATTTGATTTATTTTGAATGTTCAATGGCAGCTTGATTGTCCAAACTGCCGTTTGCCTACCATTTAGCAAAGAAGCCGCAATGCCGCAAGAATCAATGATATTAAAAATATCTTACTGGTTTCGCCTGGGACGTCCAAGAAAAAAAAACCACCTTCCTGAGATTCTTGCGCACGGACCTTTGCATTTCGTGCGATATGTTTTGCCGACTGATTAGCTCTTTCAACACGTTTGCATCGTGCCTCTCTGCTTCTCACATTTGAATTAGATTTTTTCGTTGGCATTTGACTTAAAACAATAATATAAACGTTTTAATATTAGAAAAAAAAACTGCAAAACATGATATTACAGCACAATGAAATAAGAAGTGCAAAATGATTTTTAATAGAACTTAAGTAACAGTAAGAAAAAAAATTGTACAATTATTAAAAAAAGTGTGGGCCAAGTGTATCACAATAAAATAATATTGCGACTTTAAATGAAGATGTAAACTTCCCTAACTTTTAAGTTGGATTAAATTGCACTTGATCTGCATATTTGGTTAAAATCGGGCAAACAACGTTACTCGTTATTTATATATATAAAGATTAAGAAGACTACTTAAATTTGTTGCGATTTTAAATATGATATGTAGTGCGATTTTCATCATCAATTTCCATTTACTGACGTTTTGAACCACAACAGCAACAATTATTTGCCGTGGAGAGGCTGTAAAATTAATATGTATGGAGATTTTCAATTAGTTATAATTTATTAATTGAATTAACTTAATTTTGATTTATTCAGTAAGAGAGACAGAGACTCTCCAATATACTGTCATCTGCTTGCGGAATATGCATCGACATGCATAATAACGAAACCTTCTCGGTACTGTAAGTTAAAACTAAAGACACCTATGATTTCACGAATTAGAGACTCCTACTCACATATCTTCCTATCTAGTTCCTTTTTCCTCATAAATGCATAATTTGCCTTTGAAAAATGATATTCCTTGTGCGTATATGTTTATTTGTAAGTAGCTCATACTTACATCCAGTAAAATGTAATGAAGTGGAATGATGGTTAGCCAAGATTTCCACTCTATTTTTTCCCGACTAATAATATCTGAATCCCTCTGCTAAATACTAAAATATTTATTTGAACACAATTATTTACGTAATTCATTACAAGAGTGGTTTATTTGTTGCACTTTTAGTTATAGAGTACTTATTTTAATGCATCCACCGATAGAGATGCTAACGTGTATCGATATTTTTGGCATACACAATGATTATAAAGTTAATTGGAGTTTCCTCTCAAGTGGAATGTTTTAATAAGGCAGATAAACAGATTTTATATACCACAGCTCTCAAGCTGGTCAAACATTACCATTAATTTAAATTCATTTATCGAAAATAATATTAAAACACAAAGACTACCATTTTCTAAATCCGTCTTTCGGGAACAAAATTCCAAATATATGTATTGCCAAATAAATAAAAAAATTGCTTTGGAATATTACTTTCTTGCATTATTTTAAATAAGAGTCTTGAATATTTCTATAAAGATTTACCTTAATGTCTGAAATTTTAACTGTTATTTGGCCTTTGTAGCTATTGCCAAAAAAAGAGTTATCATGTTATCAAGGACCTGCTGAAACTCCAAATAAATCTTTAAACTTTTTCTTTTTCACTAACGATACTTTTTCAACGTGATTTTGAATCACAATTCTTTTTGTTAGACGGAAAAACTGAGCTGGTTTTGTTTTTTTAAATAAGAACTATATTTAATATTAAAGGTTAAGTGAATTACCTAGTTTAGTTAGCTCGACATTTGAAATTTTCATAAGCAAAGTCATTAAGTTCTTCAAATACACTCGTCCATAGTTGTTTTTCTTTACTTTATTCCTTCCTATTTTCCTATCCCATGCTATTGAGATTGCATTTAATCATTGCATTTATTTCGAAAAATAATACAGATTACACTAGATAAGCTTTCGAAAAGCAACAGTTATACATTCTAACAATAAGCTGTTTTTTAAGCAATCGTTAGTCTTTGTGACGTCATGCAAAGAATGAATAAATTTATTGTCGCGATCTATCTTTTTGATTTTTGGATACTTGGCTTGTGTTTCTCGGCATTAATCCGATAAGTAATTTTAGTGAAACTTATCGATATGCGAATACAACTCACCAAACTTGACATTTCAGATGATGAAAAAATAAACAATTGCAGCCAATTATAGTTAAACATTACTCTATTTTAAATAAATATTAAAAATATTTATTCAGCAAATAGTTTTCTAAAGTATATAAATATATTTTAAAGCTGTAATGGGTGAAATATCCAATTGTTTGTAAACTAAAAGTGAAGCCATATATCAACATTTTTTACTTATAGTCAATGCAAAGGCTTGGTTTTGTGACAATTTAATAGAAAGTAAACACAAATATGTCGGATATCCAATTGAAAGAAAACTATCCCTTTGTAATGAGTGAAAGTCGTCCTTTTATTGAGGAATGGAAGCGCTGGTGTCGCCTCTGTGCAAAAGCTGATGCACAATACATAAACGTATTATCGGGACAATATGTGCAATCTACGTCAACAACTAGTGATAGCCACAATGCATTTAACATGCTAGTTGTTATAGAGGAATTCTTTCAAGTGCAAGTATGTATTTTCAACCAAAAAAGTAGGTTTATTATCCTCATATTTAATTTGATATACATTTTTTACAGATTAAGGAAGATGAAAAACTTCCTCCCTTTGTTTGCACGGAATGCTATAACATAGTGATATCCTTCATCAAATTTAAAGATAATATTAAAAAAGTGCAACAACTATACGATGATCTGCTACATGGCGATGATAAATCAAAAGTAAATTTGCCTAATTTGTATGAAAAATTTGGTTTATACGGGGAGGAGACTTTTCCTGCACAAATTAATACTAAATTACCAGTGGAAGAAGTATTCATTGCTGATTCGCCCGTTCCGAAAACTACTAATACTGCAATTGAAATAAAAAATGAAAGGGAACCTGATGAGTTCCCTACAGAGGTATTTATTAAAGAATTTGAAAAGAAAGACGAATTTCAAGACCCGTTCGGTGAAGAAGCCGTTCGAATGGACATATCTTCTCCAGGGCATGAAGATAATAATTATAGTGGAAACGATGATTATAGTAAAGAAGACTCATCAGATGATGATGAAGAGGAAGAGGAGTACAAAAGTAAATTACGAAAAAATTACAGTATGGAATCGGAAGACTCTACCGAAACTTCTAAAGAGAGCATTAAATACACTTGCAAAATTTGTTCGAAGTCATTTCAACGGAGTGGCAACTATTCCGTGCATATGAAAAAGAAACATAAACAAATCATATGTCCACAATGTACTAACTCCTTTGATAGTGAATCAAGTTTAAAAGTTCACATGAAAGATCACCGACAGTTATTCCCCTGCCCACATTGCGATCGCAAATTTCAAATAAAAGACTATGTAGCTCAACATATAAAATTTGTGCACGAAGATGAGCGACCATTTATTTGTGAAGCATGCGGTGATGCTGTACGTACAAAAGGTCAGCTTAAAGAACACATGTTGACGCATACAGATTATTCACCTTATGAATGTAAAGATTGCGGAAAATGTTTCAAACAGAAGCAACGATTGAAGGTAGTTTGTACTATTAACTATTTTAAATTATTATGTACTTAAACTACTTATTCCATTTCATAGCGACACATGCAAATACATGGCGATAAACATATTTGTACTGAATGTGGTAAACAATTGAGCACGCGCGCCACGCTCAACAGCCATTTACTGGTGCATTCCGATAAGATGCCACACAAATGTGATTACTGCGGACGGCTTTTTAAGCGTGCCAAAACGCTTAAAAATCATCTAATAGCACATACTGGCCTCAGACCATATTCATGTGATTTTTGTGACAAAACATTTTCAACTGGGCCAAGCTGTCGCTTTCATAAAAAAACGATGCATCCTGTTGAATTAGCTGCACTTGAAGCTTCTGGCGTGAAAACTTACACCAAAAATATACCTAACTTGGATGTATTAAAGGCAGTGTAAGTAGCAATAGGTTGGTTAGTTTTACTTAAATATATTACTCTAATTATTTTGGTAGCTCAAGGACTGCTGAGAATCTAACGCCATTATCCTCTAAGCAAAATGGTTGTGTATATTTTGATAAAAAAAACCGATAATCCTGTGGAGGATATAGTCAAGAAGCCGGATGATATTGCCATGACAGTCGATAATAATTTTCAAAACAAACCAAATGATGTTGTTACTACAGCAAATACTTAATTAACAAATAATACCAGTTAACAAAATTGTATTATCTACTACTTTTACAAGTTAAACATCATTATTTCTTTAATTCCCTAATTAAAAAATATATGTTTACGCACCAGCTACATGTTTTTGAATTGAAACTCTTTTTGCAAATTCATAAATATGTTAAAAACAAATGCATGATCTACTTCCTTGAGTGAATTTAATATTTTTATAGTGCGGGATTTAGAAAACATCCTTTGCTTTAAAGAATTAGGGAAGCATGAAAAGTTTAATGAGCCTCGCTACGCCTCGCCTGGAATACAGGTGCTACGACATCGAATACAACTTTTTATTCATTGATTACGCCTTTAGTCGTGTTCGTCTAAATGTACTAAAAGCAAAAACAAAATACACTGTAATAATGTCACCTTAATTACTTTGAATTATTATTAACGCATATCATTTCATACATAGATCATAATTTTCAAATTAAAACTCCGAAGCCGTTGGCATACAAAATCTTTTTTTATTGCGTGAGTATTTCAACCCGGACAGCAGAGCCAAAAATCATGAACTCTATAGTTCAAATTTGTTTTTCTGCCACGCAAGTTTTATCTGCCATAGTCGTAAGGTGAAGCAATTCGATACTCTTATGTGACCAGCGTTTTAAAGAAGAAATGTTTGTGGTTAAGCTCGAAAAGCTTTTGAGTCGTGCAATATTTTATAAAATAAGGATAAAATGTAAATTAGTGAAATTGGTCGCAAAAAGTTGAATTTGTCAGAAGAGGAACGCTTATTGCGTAGAAGGTATCACATGAAAAAAGTTTAAGAAAAACAAAAACTCGCTAAAAACGATTGAACGTAAAAAAAATTAAAATTAGCAGTATGTGAGGCAAATCAAAAAGTAGAGCACTTGGAAAAATATAGTAAAGGCAGAACGAGCAAACCTAGTGGACCCGGAGTTCGGTGAGACAATTAATATGCTAGCTGTAATAGAGAAATTCATTCAAGTGCATGTACGTATTTTCAACAAAATTAATAAAATATACCTATATTTGTTTGTTTTAATACTTATTATGTATCTTTTCAGATTAAAGAAGATGAGAAACTATCTCCCTTATTTGCATCGACAGTTGTTTTCATGGCCACGTTGGGATCGCAAATTTCAAATAAAAGACTGTAGCTCAACATATAAGATTTGTGCACAATGATACTATTGATACTGATACTATTTTCCCGAAGCATCTGTAAACAAACAATCATATAACGTGACAACTTCATCTTCTATAAATACGTCTTGGTATTAAGATGTAGTTACATATTACTAAAGAAATTTATATCCAAGTACCAGTGTTTTTATTGCTTAGAATGAGACAGCTGACTAAGATAACAGCTGAACAAGAAACAGATGTTAAAATAAGGTATGTTCATTTCATGCACCAATGCGGTTGAAATAATAAATGAAAGTACTTATTATTTTTTATAAATGCCTCTGATGTCCAGGCATATATTTATCACTAAAAATTGCAGGGATTAAACAATATCATTGTGAGTAAAAGCAAGGATTAAATAAAAAGACTCTCAGCGACAACATAAGCTTTTGGCTGACAGCTTTGTTTAAATACGGCGAATAAGACCTTAAAGTTCTTAATCATTATTTAAAACGTTTCTCATGTACGTGCAAGCTTTCACATCATTCTAAAAATCAAAATTCTTTGTAACGAACTTTATAGTTTTCTAGTGATAGTTTTGTAAAATCTTCAAAAATCTTCACTGGATTAATTTTTCTGCCAAAACACGAGTACACAGCTAAACTCATATCGATCATCTCTTTAATTAAAACATACTCATATCGATATCTCGTATATCGAATAAGATACACTTCCAATTTGAAGTAATAAATAAAAAAAAACCGTAAACATTTTGCTTACCTTAGCATTTAATAAATTCTGGAAACGGTATTACATATGGATGTGTATATCTGCATAAATGCAAATGAATTACATTTGTGAAGTAAGAACTTAAGAAGTACTGACATCTTACACTTCTACGTATTATTAAGAGAAGTGACACCCAAGCTGGAGCATCTAATATGATGGAAACTAGTGATAATCTTTCAGGCGATTTTTTAGTAGAAAAATTGAAAACCTGGTGCCGTCTCTGTGCCCGGGCTGATGGATTATGTGCTAATATTATAACTGGAGAGGGCCAACAATCCAAATCATTAATTTATGGTTTCAGTAACATTGCGCTTGCAATAGAGAATCTTTTTCGAGTTCATGTAAACAAACTTGTTGAAATGTTTCAAAATTGCATGTATGTTATTTCGTTTTTTTATTTTTCAGATCGAGGAGGATGAGACATTGTCACAGCTAATTTGTACGGAATGTTACCAAATTGTGATATCTTTGATTAAATACAGAGATCGTGTGAAAAAAGTTCAGGAAATGTATAATGATATACGAAACCATCAACATAAAGATATTTTAGATATAAAAGCTCTGTATGAGAAATATGATCTAACTGAAAATGAACCATTTTGGCTGCAAACCACAGATTCTACAAAACTGCCTGTTGAAGAAATTTTCGTTGCCGATTTACCCTTAACAAAAATGGCCGATTTAACGGGAATTGAAATAAAAGATGAAAAAAAGGCAGATGAAGTACCAGCTGACATTTGTATACAGAACTATGCAAAGGAAGTTGAATTTGTTGATCCAATAGGGGCTGAGGATAATTTTGATCAACAAAGTTTCGTTGATGAAGACAGGCTGAGTAGTGGGAGTGAAAGTGAAGAAACAAAAATGCCAAATGAGAAAAATGTAGCAAAGGATTCGACAAATTTTATTGAAAGTCTCGAATATAATTACATTTGTATAATTTGTGCTGAAAGTTTTCGCCGCATCAGCACCTATGTTACACACATGCAGAAAGAGCATGGTGAAATTAATTGCCCGCTATGTGCACTTGCTTTCAAAAATGCTTTCAAACTAAGAATACACATGAAAGAACATCCAAAAGCGTTTAATTGTGTGAAATGCGATAAACAATTTGATACAAGAACAAGATTAGGTAGACATATAAGTTGTGCGCATGATAAAGAACAACCACTTATTTGCGAAATATGTGGTGTAACTTTGCTCAAAAAGAAGCAGCTCAGAGACCACATGCTCCAACACACTGACTATTCACCATTTGAATGTAAAGTATGCGGTGCACGTTTCAAACTGAAGAGTCGTCTGAAAGTAATATTAAAAAATGCAATTTAGATGTATGTAATTTTATACAATTTTATTTATGTTTTCTGTTTTTTAGAGACACATGCAAATACATGGCGATAAATATATTTGCCCTAAATGTGGCAAACAACTAAGTACGCGCGCTACACTTAAGGATCATTTGTTAGTCCATTCCGATGAGATGTCACACAAATGTGAATATTGTGGTCGATTGTTTAAACGCGCCAACACGCTTAAAAATCATTTAATAGCTCATACGGACCTTCGGCCATACGCTTGCGATTTCTGTGATAAACGGTTCTCCACAGGGCCCAGTTGCCGGTTTCATAAAAAAACAATGCATCCGAAAGAGTTGGCTGAACTGGAAGCGACTGGAGCTAAAGCATATACGAAAAATATACCAACCTTACAGGTCTTGAAAGCAGTGTATGTTGTAAATATATTTAATGAGTATAACATTATAATTAATGTTTAATTTTATTTTTAGTTCGCGGGAGGGTGTGAATTTGAAGCCACTGGCGTCCAAACAAAATGGTTGCGTATATTTCGACAAGGAAATACAAGTAAAAACCGATACTCCTAAGACGAATATGTAATTAGGCCTTTACATTAGTAACATTAACTAATGTATGTTCATACATATATGTATAAGTTTTAATATTTAAATTGTTCATATAAAATTTAATTAGGTTAGTATATAAATTCTATGGTATGTACTGGTGTTTTTTTTCCTGTTTATAATAGCTTAATGATTATTTTTTTGTTTGTCGCTGCAACTTATTACTTCAGTAAAGAAGGAATAGAGAAAACAATAAATAAATTCATAATAACAATATCTGTAAAGTCAAGCTTAGAGTTTTATCTGTGTTTGCATACATATGTATGTAGTTCGGGCTTACTAATACATTTGAGTTTTATTTTTATACGAAAAAGACATGTACATATGTACAAATGAAAAAAAATATATACATATAAAATACATAAAACATACATACATAATAAATAAATTAGCGAATTAATTTACCCCTCACGTTTCACAAACTTTCATTCTATTATAATACCGTTAGCGTATGAATGGGCGAAACTGGTAATCGAAACTGTTATTCGCGTAATGTAATGTATCGATTATTTTAGTACATTACTAAATTTTACTCACAAGCAATTGTTTACAGAAAATCGTTCAAATTTTGAGCAAATTGACAAAATATAAACACCCAGTTGTGATGTCAAGAGAACCATCGAACCAATTCGAGCCTGTTTCGAATTTTGGGAGTAATCTTTGTGATGAGAAATGGAAAGGTTGGTGTCGGCTCTGTGCTAAAGCTGATGAATACTGCGTTAATGTCATATCGGGGGTGTATCAAAAATTTCCAAATGATACTGGTTTTAATTACGACGTCAACTTGGCTTATTTAATAGCAAAATATTTTCAAATCCAAGTATGTAATTTTAAATTAATATATCTAGTCTGTGTTATGACGATTCATTTTAGATACAGGAAGACGAAAAACTTTCTCGAGTAATTTGCTTGGAGTGTTGCAAGTATATCACAGCCCTTAGTAAGTTTGGAGAGCGTGTAAGCAATGTGCAACAAATGTATGATGAACTTTATAAGTGCAAAGATAAAACAAAATTTGATGTAGATTCACTATTAGAAAAATATGACTTGTCCAAAAATGAGTCCGTACTTGCACACCACGAAAACGAAGTGCCGATTGAGGAAATATTCGTGGCTGGGTTGGCAGTTACAGTTGAAACTGATCCTACCATTGTTAATATCAAGAAGGAGGCCGTTACAGTTGCAGAACAGATAGATACAACGTTACCAGTTCATAACGAGGATGATGATGATCCCATCGGCGACAAAGAGCAAGATAAAGAAGAATCTTGTACACAATTAGACTCTGATATCAGCAGCTCTAGTGAAGAAAATTATTCTGATGACAATGCCACCTCATCAACAAATATAAGAAAACGATTACAAAAAAATAGTGGTGAGAATCTTGAGAAGCACACATGCATCATTTGTTCACAATGTTTCCAACGTCGTAGGAACTACGCCACACATATGAAAAGAAAACATGATGTAATAGTTTGTCCGGAATGTCCCAGCTCATTCAAAAATATTTTAAATCTCAAAAAACATATTTTAGAACATCGCAATGCTTTTAATTGTTCACAATGTGAACAGAAATTCGAGAAAAAGAGTATTTTGAGTAAGCACGTAAAAGATGTGCATCGGAAGCCTGTTGGCAAGTTTGTTTGTGAAGCTTGTGGAGAAGCAATGGTAACAAAAAGAGAACTGACTCTACATATGTTGATACACACCGACTACATCCCTTTTAAATGTAAAGACTGTGGCATGTGCTTCAAAGAAAAATATCGTTTTAAGGTAAAAAATATTGTATTATTTTTTTAATTCATAATAATTATAAATATTAAATTGCAGAGGCACTGCGAAATACACAGAGATAAAGTCATTTGTCCTATATGTGGGAAACAGCTAAGTTGTCAAGCCACATTCAAAAATCATATGCTAGTGCATTCCGATAAAATGAATCACAAATGTGACTATTGTGGTCGTGAATTTAAGCGCGCTAAAGGATTGAAAAGCCATTTATTACTCCACAGTGGACTAAAACCTTATTCCTGTGAATTTTGTGAGAGAACGTTTGATAATAGATCAAATTGCCGTTTTCACATGAAGCTTAAACACCCAAATGAATTAACCGAATTGGAAGCTTCAGGACAAAAAACATATACCAGTGTTCCGAGATTGGAGGAGTTGAAATCACTGTAAGCAAATACATATCTCATATATTACATAAAAAGAATAATAAAATATTATTTATATATTTCTACTATAGTGTAAGGCGGTCAGAGTATCTGAAGCCTGTGAATTTAAAGCGTGGCGGCGGAAAGTTAACATCTCAACATGGCAGTTCTGTAAACTCAGAAAAATCTGAAATGGAAACGCAAAGTTCCAAAATTATGAAGGAGCATAGCGCTTTGAGTGTGTTCGAGCCGGAAAGTAATTATGGCTTGTATTGCCACAGTGTCGAATGAATTTATAATTTAATATATTGTCGGATTGTATAGTTTATATTGCAGCAAGGGGATAACTATTTTTCAATTATTTAATAGTAGAATTTTATAGTAGTGATGTGTGTTTGTAAATTGATTTTTTTTAAATCAAATAAAAAGTGAAATAATCTTATGATAACAATGAGTTTTTTATTCTGAAATAATGTGAATTTAATTCCATTAGTCTTCAAATAAAAATACGTGAAAAAAAGTATTTTTAAAGTTGTAAAATGAAATGTACAACAACACACTGCAGCACTAAAATCGCTTTGATGAGTTCCACGGCGTTTGATAAGCGATTCAATTTATATAATTGCATTTGATCATAAATTTTGACAGTCCTTTAATAAAAATTATAAACCTATTATAAATTGTTGGTCTACACAAGATAAAAATTCATTTTGTGAAGAATGCGTTGAATTTGTGTCATCGACATGATATTCGCATAGTCTATTCATGCATTCGTTCAAATTCTCTATATTAAATATATCGATAGTATTGGCGCATAACTATATGCTAATGAAAAACAAATATAATTGTAAACAAATAAGTAAATTCAAAGTAAAAATATTTTGTAGTGATGGCGAAAATTCTTTCAAATCAATGTGAATATATTGCAAGTGACACAAGTAATATTTATAATGAGAAATGGAAAAGTTGGTGTCGACTCTGTGCTAAAGCTGATGAACGTTGCGTTAATGTTATATCTGGGATACATTCACATTCACAACCATCAAATGAAACTAGTTTTAGCCAGGATATTAACTTGTCTTATTTAATTGCTAAATATTTTCAAATCGAAGTAAGTAATTTGTTAGTACCTAGCATATTTGATATTGAATTCTTTTTAGATACAGGAAGACGAAAAACTTTCACAAGTAATTTGCTTAGAGTGTTGCAAATATATCACAGCTCTTAATAAGTTTGGGGAACGCGTAAACAATGTGCAACAAATGTATGATGAGCTTTATAAGTGTAAAGACAAAACAAGACTTAATATGGGTTTTCTATTAGAGAAATATGGCATATTTAACGATGAATCAATACTTGCGCACGATGAAAACGAATTGCCAGTTGAGAAAATATTTATTGCTGGTTTGGCAATTTCGCCTGAAACTGAATCTCCCATAGTTGATATAAAAAATGAAGTAGTCACAGTCTTAGAACAAGTGGATAGAACATCGCAGGCTGACAATAAAGAAGATGCAGAATTTCATGATCCCATCGGTGATGAGACGCGGCATAGCGAAAAAGCATATTGTACAACAACAGATAGTGAAGGAAGTAGTTCTGGTGAAGACAATTATTCTGAAGATGATGCAGATTCAACAAAACATAACAAAAATCGTTTGAAAAAAACTAGTGAAGACACTGAGGAGCAAACATGCAATATATGTTCACAAATTTTTCAACGTCGCAGCAACTATTCAACACATATGAAGAGAAAGCATGGAGTGATCGTTTGTCCACAGTGTCCCGGTTCATTTAAAAATATTTCAAGTCTCAACAAACATATGGTAGAGCATCGTAAGTCTTTTAATTGTACACAATGTGAACAAAAGTTCGAAAGAAAAGGTCTGTTGGGTAAGCACATGAGAAATGATCATAAAGCAGGTGGCAAATTTATATGTGAAGCATGCGGAGAAGCAATGACGACGAAAAAGCAATTGACGCTACATATGTTGACCCATAGCGACTATACTCCATATAAATGCAAAGACTGTGGCAGATGTTTCAAAGAGAAATATCTTTTGAAGGTAATATATTGGTATATTATATTAAATCAATGTAGTTTTGTTAATGATAAATTTCAGAGGCATTCCGAAATACACGGGGATAAGGTCATCTGTCCTGTATGTGGTAAACAGCTTAGTTGTCGCGCTACGTTCAATAATCATATGTTGGTTCATTCAGACAACGCTCCATATAAATGTGACGTATGTGGACGTGCTTTTAAACGTGGCAAAGCACTAAAATACCACCTGCTTGCTCATACTGGCCTAAGACCTTATTCATGTGACTTTTGTGATAAAACATTTTCTACTGGTTCAAGCTGTCGGTTTCATAAGAAAACAATGCATCCAGTTGAACTGGCTGCTCTTGAGGCATCAGGCGCCAAGGCCTATACAAAAAATGTACCAAACTTGGATTCATTACGAGCCGTGTAAGTAAAATAATAATTAGTTTATATAATATTTTAACTAAATACATTTCATGTATCTTTTAAGAGCGAAAACTGGACGCAATTTCTTACCATTAGCATCAAAACAAAATGGATATACGATTTTAAGGAACTCAAAAGATGCTAGTTGCGAAGATGGCAAGGACGGAGATGATAATAATATTGTTGATAAATAAGTAGTCAGTGATAATGTATGTATGTAAATGATTTATTATTGGTTTAAATAACAGAAGTCTAAAACTTTTTGGTTCAACAAAGAAGGAGTGAGTTCCAAAACGTCAGCTGTAAAACAACCATACATTGTCACGCATTCCTAAATGAAATTGTGCATACTTTGACGATGTATCATGTCAGAAATTGCATCGGTAAAGTTATTGATAATTCTTTTTTTTTAACATTATATTACTTATTTTTTGATCTGTGTTATATTTTAGCAACTTCACCGGTTTCGCAACCGCATCATTACAAAGTATTTTGACGTTTTGGAACTCGCCTAAATAACATAAATTATATCAAACAATAGCTGCATGTAAACTAATTTTTGTAACATGAGATTTTAAGATATTATATGTATGTATGGGTTAATAGTACATATGTGTGTATAAAATTCAAATGTGGACTGACAGTGCTCTATATAAATGTGTCCGCTATTATTTAAATTAAGGCAGAAATAAAATGGATTTACTCAATTAAGATAAGTGCAAAAAAATAAACTGGCAATAGATAAAATAAATGAAAGTGGCAAAATTTTTAATTCATTTTTTACATTATCTATAAACATCTTATAAAGATTCGAATAGCTCGAAAAGTTACCGACTGAAATATATTAGGGACCGAACTATTATCATCTCCGTTGTATTTATAGTTCCATTTAATTGAAAATGGGTACACAAATAGCTTTTTTCAAGCACAAATTGTATTTATAGTTCTTATTGCTTAAATTCTTTTTTTTCGGGAAGTGGATTGATCTATTTGAAAAATATGGATGATATGCCTGAATGGAATACTTTTTTATCCTGGAAATGGATAAGAGGCCTGGGACCAAGTTCACCGACAATGGACAAAAAAAAAGTATACATGTGGATAAGGCGTATATATGTTTTGGTTGCAAGCTATTCGTATATGTTCAATTTGGGTTTGAATATGCATAGATCTCATTTCGTGTTAGCCTTCGAGCAGCGAAAAAATGAAAAAAAACTTAATAATTTGACTTAGATGATGATTAATTATGATTTTTATAGTTCTTACAATACCAGTAAGAATAAGAATTTGACAAAATACAAAAATCCAGAGCCACGAGGCAGCAGCTATTTATATTTAAAAAACTAATTATTGAGTCTATACATTGAAATAGTTAGATGTACGCAGTGGTATTATTTCAAATGTGTTGAAGCAATTAAAATTACAGTTTAATTTCTGTTAATTCTTCAGTTTAATCAACTTTTTTGATTTCGACTAGAACAGATTGAGATTAAATTGAAATATGTACATATTTCCGTTCACTGCAAGCGTGCTGTATAACAATTAAAGTAATGTGCTATGCTCGGGCACGATTTCATCTTCTAGAGCTTCTATTTCGTATTTTTCTATGTCAACAGATTTGGGTTGTAACTTTCTACCACGCCTTACATTTACAGGCTGTAGGTTCTCAGCACTCCGTACGCTGCAACAAAAATATATATTTTATTCATACATAAAATATGAGATATTTATTTTACAATGATTTCAGCTCATCCAGTCTTGGAACAGTGGTGTAGGCTCTTTCTCCTGAGGCTTCCAAAGCGGCCAACTCATCGGGATGTTTGAGTTTCATGTGCATACGACAATATGATCTACAACTAAAAGTTCTTTCACAAAATTCGCAGGAATATGGTTTTAGTCCACTATGGAGTATTAAATGGGTTTTCAATGCTTTTGAACGCTTAAATTCACGCCCACAATAATCGCATTTGTGATACGTTTTGTCGTAATGCACCAGCATATGATTTTTGTACGTACGCGGAGAATTCAGTTGTTTCCCACATACAGTGCAAACATATTTGTCACCATGTGTTAGCATGTGTCGCTGATAATTTGATTGAATTGTATAAATTAACACACCATACATATATACATATGTAAAATTATTATTTTCTTTCTTTTACCTTTAAATTTTTCCTGTGTTGGAAACACTTTCCACATTCAGTACATTCGTGAGGTAGGTAATCTGTATGCAACAGCATATGTTCTTCCAGTTCAGCTTTTAAGCGAAAGGCTGATAAACAAACTTCACAGAAAAATGACTGTTCATCATCATGTATACGTTTCATGTGCCGAAATAAATATTCTGTCCTTTGAAAAATTTTATTACATTTGGTACAAGGATATAACTGGTGATATTCTTTTATATGAAGTTTTAAATTGTTCTCATTTTCGAATGAGTCAAAGCAATGTGTACATATTAATTTATTATGATATTTCAACATGTGTGCAGCATAGCGGACGCTTTGTCGAAAGGCATGAAAACAAATATCACAAGTGTAGTTACTTTCACTTATGACTTCTGAAAAATCTTCATTTGCCATACTGTCGTAGTTTAACATATTTTGTAAGCATTGTTGCTCATCTTCATCGGATGATGAACGCAAAAGATATTCTTCTTTAATACAATTATCTATTTGAGCATTTTCCTGACCGATTGGATCATAAAATTGGTCTTTATTTCCGGTTTCGTCAATAAGTTTCTCGGGATATGTATTTATATTTGTTTCTTCATTATTTACTTGATCTTCAACTTTTATCTGGATGTAATTATCCGCAACAAAATTTCCTTCCAGTTTCAAGTCATTGCTTCGTGATTTCTCCAGAGATTGTGCTTCTTTAAATAAGCCATATTTTTTATACAAAGCAAGAAGATCAATTCCAGACTTTCCCTTATTGCGCAACAGGTCGTCATATAACTTTTGTACTTTTTTAATATTCTCGAGAAATTCAACAAGGGAATTAACCACTTGACAACACTCTGTACATATAAATGTCGAAAGATGGTCGTTTTCATTAATCTGTAAATTAGTGTGAAGTTATAAAATATATATTTTTTTAATTCCAATTAACAAACGTCAACATGAAAAAAGTCCTTTATGATGGTAGACATATTCATTGTCGGTTGAATATTAACAGCGGGACCGGTTGGTAAACACTGTTCAGATATCGCGTTCACGTATTGAGCATCAGCTTTGGCGCAGAGACGACACCAGTTTTTCCAATCCTCTATATATTGTTTATTCTTGTCTGCAATAATAGTCACAGTTAATTACCTACTTGCTTGCTTTAATTACTATTTTATTTTTTTAATAAAGTTTCCAAAACGTACCTGCCACTACTCTTTCGCTTCCATGTTTATGTCTTTGATTCGAACTATTTACAGCACTTGTTCCGTCGGAGTGTTCACTTAAAACACTATTTGTAATGGATTTTAAAACATCATACATTCATTGTTTCTAAAATTTAGTGTAAAGAACTTACTTTATTTTGTTTGTATTCTCAATGAAATTTCGTTCATCTGGTATTTTACAACAGGTACTAGAAACATATTGTGGTAGTGGATGAGGTACAGCTTTTGGCAGTAATCTTGGTCTACCAGCCTTAATAACGTCTGCACTTGCAAAATGATCTATACAAATATAATCTTTAGATCTGAGTGGAAAACGGCTATGTTTACTCCACATCAGCCTAGTATGTTCATCGCTAGGTACTCGAAAGAAAGGTCCTGTTCCTCGTTCAACCCTTTTATTACACAGTGCACATTTCCCCATGCTGATATATTTTTATTATTTATTTTTATTTTTTTTTTATTTTTACACTAAACTTAGAAAGTAGAAATGTAAACAATGCAGGTATGGCAAACGGCTGTTAGGTAGTGATTTTTATTTTTATCACTTGGGTGCTGTTGATATCGAAAGATGGCCTAGAAACATAGAATGATCGTGAATACTTTTAGATTGATGAATTAGAAATTCAGAAATTTTGCGTTTCAAAAGAATCTTTGCAATAAAAATCAAAACTGATTTGGTCGTTTTAAATAATGCTCGTAGGTTTAAAAGAATTATTGCATATTGAGAAATAGTATATATATATATTGTTGCGAAAATGCGAGGCGAATGTCAGATGAAAGAGAGAAGCCGATAACACAAGAACCTTCCATAGCGAACAATTCGATGCTTCTACGCTTTCGTCTGCGAGCAGCCGACTGCTATATAAAGGCGACACTCAGCTGCAAGTCAGGCAGTGACAAAGCAAATTGGTTGGCGTTAACATCAGTGAAGACGTAAAGTGAACGCGTTGGGAATTACATTTAAGTAGAGGAAATTGTGAAAGTTGATGTTAGTGATTATAAATAGTAAAGTGCAGTATAATTGAATTGTGAATTACTGAGAGAAATAAAGGACATTAGATAGAATCTTTATAACGAAAGAAACTGCAAATTAAGTTGGCGAGTTTTTATTTAACAATCCAGAGATCGTACCCGAAGGATCTAGAAAATAATTGAGGTTGATTTAGTAAAATCGTAACAATATTTTTAAATACAAATCGAGTCCCTCGAAAATCAAAACCATGGGATATATCGATATCGTACTTAATATATGTTGCATCTCTATGTTTTAACTCATCTGAATTGATTTGTTGTAATTTTTGTAAACAAAACTTAACTGTAAAGGAAAGCAGGAATATACTTCGTAATGTCTGTTGTGTTACTAAATTTTGAAATTGGAGAAAGTGATAGATTTAGTGCTGATTGGAGAAGTTGGTGTCGACTGTGTGCCAAAGCTGATGCAGAGCAGTACATAGATGTGCTGTCTAGGCAATGTGTTCCAACCATGCCCTCCTTTAATGACAACTCGATGAATCTTGTCACAAATATAGAGGAGTTTTTCCAAATTCATGTACCTTAATTGAATTTTAAATTGATAATTTTTACTCAATTTCAATATTTTTACAGATAAGAGAAAATGGCAAACTTTCGTCTTGGATTTGTAGAGAGTGTTATGAAATAGTTAAATCATTTCATGAATATAAAAATAATGCTAAAAAAGTACAAAACTTATACAATGACCTCATAAAAGGGAGGCAAACAAGTACGAAAAAATCAGTTAAAGAAATTGTATTTGTTGATAAAATCGAAGCAGATTCATTTGAAAATAGTGGCATATTAACTAATGGAATATACGAGCACGCAGACGAATTTAGAGACCCAATTCGAGAGGAAATGGTGATTGCCAGCTCAAATAATGGGTTTTCGTCAGCAGAATCATGCAGCGGTAATAGTAATGAAGAATACGATACACAATCAACAATATGTTATGATCCTGAGGAAGAAGATGAAAACCAGTCACAGAATAGGATCCAGGATGAATATATAGAATCGGTGGATGAAACAGAAAATATGTCGCAACTTAAATATAACTGTGTTATCTGCCAACGAAATTTTCAACGTGGTAGCAATTACACTACACATATGATAAAGAAGCATAACTGCAATAGAAGTGATTTTGATGCACAACAAAAGTTATTTTCCTGTTATCGCTGTAATCAAAAATTTAAAGCTATGGGAAAAGTAGCGCATCACCTTAAAGTGGTGCATAAAGAAGAAAATCCATTTATTTGTGAGGTGTGCGACGATAGATTGCCAACATATGAATCATTCAAAGACCATATGAACACTCACACAGACTATGCACCCTTCGAATGCGATGTGTGCAGTAAAAGTTTCGCGGACAAAAGATATTTAAAGGTAATGATAAGCTATTGTATTTGAAATAGTGTTTTCATTTTAAAACTTCCGTTGAATTTAACAGGCTCACATGTTCACACATGGCGATAAATTTATTTGCCCTGTTTGTGGGGAACAACTGAGTTGTCCTGCAACATACCGAAATCACATGGTAGTGCACTCCGACAAAATATATGACAAATGCGAATACTGTGGACGTGAATTTAAACGTGCTAGAGCCTTGAAAGCCCATTTAATACTTCATATGGGCATGCAACCATATTCCTGTGAGTTTTGTGATAAATCCTATGGTTCAAAGTCCAGTTGTACTAAGCATATGAAGAATAAGCATCCAAAAAAATTAGCCGCTCTGGAAGCCTCCGGGGAAAAACCCATCACATGTGTCCCAAAATTAGCTGAGCTAAAAACTCTGTAATTTGAATATTTCTCTTTGAATTAATATTAAGTTAAAGACATACATACATTCTTTAATATTTCCATTACAGAGTACGACACGCCAAACATCCGGTTGATTTAAAACGTGGCCCAAAACCAAAATTAAAAGTTAAAGTTCACTCTGAAGAAAATTAGCGGAAATGAAAGCAGCATAATAATATAAATAATAAATAAATAATTTTTATTATTGAAATTATTTTTTATAAAAATAATTTAATAAAATAAGTAATTTCGATTGAAAAAAATAAAGTCTCAAAGGCGGAACTTTTTACAAAGAATTTAGTATGATTGTTTGATTAAATAAAATTCAATATAATGAATTTTTAAATTTTTATATTTATTGCAGTGGTAATGCTTAATTATCATGTTTACGATAGGCTCTTATTTGGAGTTCTTCATTGCACTATGATAAAAGTTTCATGTTCAACTTTTCTATGTCTCCATAAGTTAGCTTTTAATTTATCTATGCCAATTTGACCAAAAAATATATCGATATCACAGTCAATGAACTTCTCTTCTCTATCTTTTAAATTGACTAGAGGCATTTAATGTAAACATAAACAACGGTTTTGTACTCAAAATGTCGTTTATGTTGTTTGACAAAAGGTATTACTTTGAAACAAAAGGAAAGAATAAGTTTACCGATGATTGGAGAAGCTGGTGTCGATTCTGCGCCAGACCTGATGCACAACAGTATGTCGATGTGCTGTCTGGAGAATGCATGCCAAGCATGCCCTCGGTGAATTGCAGCTCGATAAACCTTGTGTCAGAAATAGAGCAGCTATTCCGAATATATGTATGTTGATTGAAGATAAAACGATTTTTTTACTGAATTTAAATAATTCGCAGATAAAAGAAGATGATAAGCTCTCCTCGTGGATATGTATAAATTGTTTCCAAGTAGTGAAATACTTCCATGAAATTAAGGAGGATACCAAAAAAGTTCAACAATTATACTATGATCTATTAAACAGCGTTGATCCTGCCATCATAAAAAATGAATTATCAGTGATACAAAAACGTTCGAAGCAAACAGTTGAAGAAATTACAATTGCCAACGTTGCCCCCTTAAGTGAATTTGGTCCATCAACTATTCCTTTTGAAAAAGAAGTAACTAACAACAGCTTCGAAAAGGTAGAGCTGGTCGGAAGGAAAAACGATCATTTCAAAACCGATAGTAGTTTTTCTCTTCCCGAAACTTACAACAGTAGCGGAAACGAATATTATGATGCACATCCATCAATTCTTGATGATACAGTAAAATATGATTATTCAGATTCTGATGATTCCACGGACATCAATAATGAAAATAAATATACCTGCGATATCTGCCAACAGAGCTATCAACGCAAATGTAACTATACTTCTCATATGATAAAAAAACATAACTACGTAAGAAGTCCAGAGCGTTATGTGGAAGAAGAAAAAGAGTTAATCTATCCGTGTCCTCAGTGCGACCAAAAATTCAGAGCGAAAGGGAGAGTGGCGCAACATCTTCTATTGGTACATAAAGATGAGAAACCATTTATATGTGAAGTATGTGGGGCTAAAGAATGCACGAATCAATTACTTCAAGAACATATGACCATACACAAAGATTATTTGCCTTTTGAATGTGAAGTCTGCGGAAAATGTTTTAAAAAGAAAAAGTATTTAAAGGTAATTACAAATCTAACAACATCAATTTTAAATGAAATTATTATTTTAAATTCTAGTCCCACATGTACATACATGGCGATAAACTTATGTGTCCAAAATGCGGTGAACAACTAAGTTGCCCTACAACTTACCGGAATCATATGCTAGTTCACTCCGACAAAATATATGACAAATGCGAATACTGTGGACGGGAATTTAAACGTGCTAGAGGATTGAAAGCCCATTTAATACTTCATATGGGCATGCGACCATATGCCTGTGAGTTTTGTGATAAAACTTATGGTTCAAAATCTAGTTGCACTAAACATATGAAGGAGAAACATCCGAAACAATTGGCTACACTGGAAGCCTCTGGGGGAAAAAAATTTACCTGCGTCCCAAAATTGGCTGAGTTGAAATCTTTGTAAGCTGAATATTTCTCTATGCATGAATAACAAATAATTTATATGGATATTTTTATTTTCCATTACAGAGTACGACGCGCGAAAAATCCGGTTGATTTACAACGTGGCCCAAAACCAAAAACAAAAACAAAAGTTAAAGTTCCCTCTGAAGCAAAACATCAATCCGAAAAATAATCACAAACTTGAGGCTAAGCATAAAAATAAAAACAAATACCGTAATAAAAATGCTATCACAAAGTCGGTAATGAAAGAGAAAATAAATTATTAAAAATAAATAATTCGTCAATTTACAAGAAATTAATTAGTTATAGCTTGAAAAAACCGTTTATAAATATAAGTTATTTTTTATTTTAAACAAATAAGTCATTTGAAGTTGATCTTAAAATTGAAAATAAAGATTGTTAGATTGTATAATAATTAGAAATGTTTGCACATTTAAATTGTAGTTACAATCTCTTGTCTTTCCTACTCCTGGAACATATATTAAAATATTTATATTTCCATTTTGCTTACATGAAAATACAAATAAAAATGCCTGGCGATAATATATTTTATGCGATACGCCCAGATCTTCATTGGACCGTACTAAAAATCTAATGTTGAAGTTTTCTAAGTGTATTAAAGTAGATGGCTTTTAATATCACTTTCTCCGTAGAATTAACATAACCGTAAAAAATTGTATGTATCGATAACGCAATCAAAATATTGTGCATCTCTATCAGTTGATTTGACTAGATGGCTTTAATGTAAACATAAACAAAAAATTACACAAAAACACACCTATATTTAAATTAAAAATGTCGTCTATGTTATTTGATATAAAGTATTACTTTGAAACTAAAGGAAAGAGAAAATTTACCGATGATTGGAGAAGCTGGTGTCGAATCTGTGCCAAACCTGATGCACAACAGTATGTAGATGTGTTGTCAGGAGAATGTTTGCCAAGCATGCCCTCGGTGAATTGCAGCTCGATAAGCCTCGTTTCAGAAATAGAGCAACTATTCCGAATCTATGTATGTTGAATGAAAATTATACGTATTTTATTTTGTACCGAATTTCAATATTTCACAGATTAAAGAGTATGATAACCTCTCCTCGTGGATATGTATAAATTGTTTCCAAGTAGTAAAATACTTCCAAGAAATCAAGGAGGATACCAAAAAAGTTCAACAATTATATTATGATCTATTAAACAGCGTTGATCCTGCCAACATAAAAAATGAATTATCAGTGATACAAAAACGTTCGAAACAAACAGTTGAAGAATTTTCAATTGCCAACGTTGCCGCCTTAAGTGAATTTGGTCCATCAACTATTCCTTCAGAAAAAGAAGTAACTAACAACAGCTTCGAAAAGGTAGAGCTGGCCGGAAGGAAAAACGATCATTTCAAAACCGATAGTAGCTTTTCTCTTCCCGAAATTTACAACACTAGCGGAAACGAATATTATGATGCACATCCATCAATTCTTGATGATACAGTAAAATGTGATTATTCAGATTCTGATGATTCCACGGACATCAATAATGAAAATAAATATACCTGCGATATCTGCCAACAGAGCTATCAACGCAAATGTAACTATACTTCTCATATGATAAAAAAACATAACTACGTAAGAAGTCCAGAGCATTATGCGGAAGAAGAAAAAGAGTTAATCTATCCGTGTCCTCAGTGCGACCAAAAATTCAGAGCGAAAGGGAGAGTGGCGCAACATCTTCTATTGGTACATAAAGATGAGAAACCATTTATATGTGAAGTATGTGGGGCTAAAGAATGCACGAATCAATTACTTCAAGAACATATGACCATACACAAAGATTATATGCCTTTTGAATGTGAAGTCTGCGGAAAATGTTTTAAAAAGAAAAAGTATTTAAAGGTAATGACAAATCTAAATTATTGGCGATTTCACTAATAACATCAATTTGAAATTACTAGTCCCACATGTACATACATGGCGATAAACTTATGTGTCCAAAATGCGGAGAACAACTAAGTTGCCCTACAACTTACCGGAATCATATGCTAGTGCATTCTGATGAAAGGAGTCACAAATGCGAATTTTGTGGACTTCAATTCAAACGTGCGAATACATTGAAAGCTCATTTAATACGGCATACGGGGATGAGACCATATACTTGTGACTTTTGTGATAAAACCTATTCTGCAAAGTCAAATTGTACAATGCACATGAAGAAAATACATCCACATGAATTAGCCGGACTGGAGGCCTCGGGTGGAAAAAAATTTACTTACGTCCCAAAAGTGGATGAGTTAAAATCTCTGTAAGTTAAATACCTTTCTTTACACTCACATTTCTAAAAATTTGTTTTGTAGGATACATCGCAACAAAGAGCCTGTTAATTTGAGGAGAGGTAGAAAAGTAAAATTAACAACTGAACTTCCCACACAAGCAAAACAATCTGGAGAATAAACGATGTGTTTCCTTAAACTCTTCTCAAAAATTAATTTGTTGACAAAGTTTTTTCATGTATAAAACAAACATCTATTATATGTTCTATACCTCGAATTACGTTGAATTAAATTAAAAATCTTAATAAAGTTAATTGGAAAATAAATGAAATTAATATGTTCCTTGGGAAGTTTTAACTGCTATTAGCTCAAATTTTATCACAACGCTGCTTTCATCAATGCTAGCGTATAGAAAGACAAGAAACTGAAATGAATTTTTTTTTTTTTAATTAAAAATAGTTTAAAGCATTTGGGTACATATAACATACCTGGACCCAACCAAAAAAATTTTTATGTATATATCGATTACTATTACTCGTAAATATACAACTACTTCCATCTTCATAAACAAAATAAACATCTGTTCTTATTTGGCTTTGATATTTCAGAAATACATAAATCTTATCCGATATATTAAGCCTTGAGAAAAAATTTACTTAAATTATTCAGTGAAATGATGAATATAGTAGAGGACTCAGTTACTGGAACAAAAGAAAATTTAACAAATGAGCGTTGGAAGCTCTGGTGTCGCCTCTGTGCTAAGCAGGATGCTGATAATATAAATATATTTTTCAAGGATGAACATATGGTTGGAGCTAATAAAATTATGAAGGAAGATGAACAATGTCTGGATATAGCGATATCAAAATACTTTTATGTGCAAGTATGCGTATATCTTTACTCGATTTAGTATTTTGCTGTGTCGGAATGCTTAGATTCATATGTACATACATGTATGCTGCATATGCTAACTATACATATCAAGATTCGTATAAAATGGACTGACAACAGTCCAGCCAATCATATATGAAGTAATACAATAAATTCAAATAATTTTTTTTTAAGTTTTTGAAGTCCTTGTCGGCCCTATACATTCACAACAAATCGTTAAGCAAAATACTAAATACACATTTTATTATATTTTGTTTTGTTTATAATATATAATAATTTAATCATAGATAGTGCAAGATGCCGAATTACCCGAACGTATATGTACGGATTGTTTTTCTTTGGTGACTTCCATGGTTAATTTTAATGAGCATGTAGCAAAAGTGCAGCAAATGTTTACCGCTCTGAAATGTATGTCCAAATTAGAAGAGACTGATTACCAAACTTTGCGGCTAAGATACGGTGTTTTCGCTGAAGAAGGGCCACATGAATTTATTTTCCGTCCTTTGAAAGATATATTTTTAAATGAAGAGAAACCAAATACAAACGATTGTGAAGAAAAGTGCTACGTCGAAGAGGCAGTTGTAAATATTCTACCAAAAGCTAGTTACAGTGTAATCGATGTAAAAGAGGAAAATTCAGTCGATCTTGCAACACCCATAGATGAAGATGCCTATGAATTTGATAGTAGAGAAGTTGGGGGTGAAGACCCATTTGGCAGTGATAATGAAAAGCACATAGATTATAGTAATGGTGGTGAGAACATACTGAATTCTTTTGAAAGCCGTAAAACGAATAGCAATGAGCAAAATAAAAAGACAATTGATAAAAGCGGTGCAGATAGTAGCGAAATGTATACTTGCAGTGAATGTAAGCAAACTTTTAAGAGGATTTCATGTTATCGTACACATATGGAACGCAAGCACGACCAATTTATCGCCGTACCTAAATTCATTTGTTCTGAATGTTCGTTTTCTTGTAATACGCAGTTGCAACTAAATCAGCATGCTGTAAAACACTTGCCCCTAACAAAACGACGTGTTGTACCATGTCCACACTGTGAACAAAAATTTCCCACTAAATCTTATGTCGCACAACACATTAAGTATGTTCATATGAATGAGCGATCCTTCATTTGTGAAGAATGTGGAGAAGCCGTGCGTTCAAAGTCACAACTAAAGGAACACATGCTGACACACACGGACTATGCGCCCTTTGAATGTGAAGTGTGTAAGAAGGGTTTTAAGAATCAAGTACGCCTGAAGGTAAGTGAAAAGATATGTTATCAAAATTAAAGTAATAATTACATGTCGTGCATAGAATCATATGGAAACTCATAATCCAAACAAACACATTTGTGCGGAATGTGGTTTGCAACTAAATTCGAGAGCCACATTAAATCGTCATTTATTGGTGCATTCCGATGTCATGCAACATAAATGTGATTTTTGTGGTCGAGCTTTTAAGCGTGCGAAAGCGCTTAAAAATCATCTTATTCTGCATACTGGGCTGAAACCCTACTCGTGTGACTTCTGTGATAGAACATTTGCTAATGGCTCGAATTGCCGTACGCATAAGAGAAAAGCACATCCAGAGGCGTTAGCTGCATTAGAGGCTTCGGGGGAAAAAACGTATACAAAAAATATACCAAAGTTGGCTGTACTAAAATCGGTGTAAGCATTCTTTATTTGCAATTTAAATTTAAAGCCAAATATAATAAGGTTGAATTAATTATATTCCAGCACGCGTGCAGCTGAAAATCTGGCACCAGTGGTCTCCAAGCAAAGTGGTAATTTTGCTTTTGGTAAAAAACCTAAACTATCACCCGATAGCCTTGGTACTGTAAGCAAAAAGCAAGCTAAAATTTATAAAGAGTCACTATCTTCGTTGCCAATAGTAAATGAGCCAAACGGAGCTAGTAATGATATAGTTTGCCAACCCTTACTTTCTGACTCACAAAAGCACAGTCAGTGCACTAATTCAGATAGTAATACTGAGAGTAGGAGTATACCAACTATAGATAATATATATAACCATCTAGTAAAACAAACAGCTACCAACAATCAATATAATATTAGCACGGAAAATGGAATAAGTTCTCTCCCTTTGGATATTAAACGAGCTGGTCGCGAGGAATTATCACCAAGTATTGCAAAACAACGAAATCAGTTTTCAGCTCAATTATTATCACCGTCCCAACATTCTGTTATACCGAATGATGTACCTAGCTTTTGTACACAATTTATAAAACAAACTGAAAATCCTCAACAGCACCTACAACCGTCTGCATTACATCAAGTACATGACAAAGAAGCCTCAACAAATAGCCCAGAGAACCATGTTTCGCATCTAACAGAGGATCAATCGTCGAGCACAGCGGACTCAAATCACTTTTATAATCAAATGAGACGACATACACCGAATACCTACCTGTAAATGTGAATACAAGAGAGGAGAATTTAATATTCTATGAGGGGTACAAGTTGGTTTACCTAATAAAACTAAACTTATAATACTTTTTAAATTTTTTTTGTGCATCTTAAAGTCGTCCTCAGCAAACATCAACAGGTATACAGAGTGAATGCAATACACAACTTGCAAAAATTTCGAAACTTTTCTAATTAATGTACACATAACCTGAAGTCATGTGAATGTGTTTAAAAGATTATTAGGTAAATTTTTAGTAATACTTAATTGGTTTGATTCCATGGGGACGCATATTAGTTTTGCCAATCAAAATTTAACTTTTCTTCAGTTTTTTATTTTTTCTTTTTTTGTATTTGTTTTTTATTTTTTTATGTCGGTCTAAATTAAATCAAATTCTCAATTTTAAAATTTTACTAATTTTTATTTCATTGTTTTGCTTTGAGTTGGTAATAATTTTTAAATGACTCTCAAAACAAATATAATTGTATACTATATATTATATATTATATATTGTGTAATAGAGATAATATATTTTTCTCCGTAGAAATATTTATGTTCTGTAATCGCGAAAACTTCGATTGAACCAAGTAGATCATTAAAGTATTATTATTTTATCACTTTTTTTGTTGCATATTATATATTTTTTAAATTAATCTAAATAAGTAAATAATATATTTTATAGGTTAGTATTTATTGTTTATAGTTGAGTGTTTATTTAAGAAAGAAATAAGTAACGAATTTGTTTTCTTCAAAAGTATTTTACTTGTTGTAAAGTACGTTTGTATATCTAAATATATTATATTAAAATATATGTATGTATATGCCTAAAAATATAACTTGACTTTAAACTATTATATGTATATACGTGTATTATGTACGTGTCTTTTACAGTTTTTTTTTGCAACTTAGCTGAAAACAATGGGAAAAATTTTGCAAAAAAATTAAAATAATTAATAAACAGCTTACTTAAAATCCATTAAAATAAGTGGAATTACTTAAAAATAATTATTATGTGTATCTTATGTTTCATATACTCGTATGTGTTGATTTCAATTATAACCATGAATTTAAAATGAGAAACCAGATATTGCGCCTAGAAGTAGGCAATGTAGCTGCAAGCCATATGGAAAAAGTAAGTATCTACTTTACTAGTGCCATAGAACTTATATTATCTGCTAATACCACATCGCATTCTCCCTTTAACTCGCTAAAATCTCTTCGAAAAATTGATAAATATTACTTCTCTCTGTTTAAACTATAACTTTTATCGAGTTCGCACTTAAATTCGCTAAACCCTGTTCGATTAATCGATAAATAATGTGCATATTCACGAGCTGTTTGATTAATCGATAAGTATTGTGTATATTCACGAAAAAATATAAACAAATGAAAGAATTGTCAGTTTTCCGTGTTTATTATTAAAATTTGCATTTACAGTACTAAAAGTAAAACATATCCACAAAATATATCGAAAAACTTGGAAAATCAAAAAATTAATGGAGGATTGGCAAAATTGGTGCCGCCTTTGTGCTAAGACTGATGCACAATACATCAACGCGTTATCTGGAGAGTGTGTCCCAACTATGACCAGTGTTGGTGCCTACACTTCAATGAGTATTGCATCAAATATTGCGGAGTTTTTTCAAGTACATGTATGTATGTAGCTAAAAAAAAAAAGAGTTTAATTGTTAGTTTTAATTTGTTCATTAATTCCAGATAAAAGAAGATGAGAAGCTTTCAACATGGATATGTAGAAAGTGTTGGGAAATGGTGCAATCTTTCGTTGAATTTAAGGAAAAAATTAAAAAGGTACAAAATTTATACAATGATCTACTGGATAGCGAAGACAAAACCAAATTAGACTTGAAAGCATTGTTTGAAAATTATGGATTGCTTGAAGAAGAGTATCTTACAGCAGAAGAACATTCTAAGCTGCCTGTAGAAGAGATTTATATCGCAGTTTCTAATGTAAAGAATGAGAGTGCATCGAATACATTATGCACTGAGACACCTATTAAAGAATGTGATATTGCAAGCGATTTTAAGGATCCAATTGGTGAGGAAAAAACTCAACCAGTAAGAGACAATTTATTTCCAGACGAAGAAAACGACACGTGTAGTGCACAGGAAGTCGATGCTATGGAAGTAGATACATCAGAAGAAGATGATGATAATGTGAAGTCTGTTAATAAAATTAATAATGAAAACAACTCATTCGGAGATGTTGAAAATATAACAAAAGTTAGTAAATATGTTTGTAATATTTGTGCACAACGCTTTCAACGTAGTGGTAACTATGCCGCCCATATGATAAAAAAGCATGATAAAATCATTTGCCCGGATTGTCCTGGATCATTTGAAAATGAAGCGAGTCTAAAGGAGCATATGAAAAACCATCGCCGGCTATTTCCGTGCAAGCATTGTGAACGTAAATTTCAAAGAAAAGAATATGTAGAGCAGCATATTAAATTTGTACATAAAGATGAGCGACCATTTATTTGTGAAGCATGCGGTGATGCGGTGCGCACAAAAGGACAACTGAAAGAGCATATGTTGACGCATACAGATTACTCACCGTTCGAATGTAAAGAATGTGGGAAATGCTTTAAGCAGAAACAACGTTTAAAGGTGATATATGCACTTTTAAATATTTAATAATAATAATATTAATAACAATAATAAGAATATTTCTCTTATCTATCTACTAATATAAATATAATATAAACAGCGACACATGCAAATACATGGTGAGAAACACATCTGCAATGAATGTGGGAAACAACTAAGCTGTCGTGCAACGTACAACAGTCATATGTTAGTACATTCCGATAAAATGCATCACAAGTGTGACTATTGTGGACGTGAATTTAAGCGTGCGAAAACGTTAAAAAGTCATTTAATACTGCATAGTGGTTTGAAACCATATTCCTGTGAATTTTGTGATAGAATATTTACGAATGGTTCGAATTGTCGCACGCATATGAAACGTACACATCCGAAAGAATTGGCTGAATTGGAAGCTTCAGGGGAGAAAACCTACACCAAAAATATACCAGAATTAGCTGTGCTGAAATCTGTGTAAAAAAGACAGAAAAAAATTTAATTTTGAATCATTGAATATTAATGTTTTTGTTGTTACAGCATAAGGGGCGCCAAGAATCTTGTGCCTGTGGTCTCAAAAGAAAGTGGCAATTTCGCTTTCGGCAAAAAGACGAAAACCAAACTGGAAGGTCATGTTGACGCGAAACAAACAGAATTGAAATTATAAGAGACAATGTAAATAAAATTTAAATTAAGGCATTGATTATTATTTTTAAAATATAACTAGTGCAACAAGAAAGAGGAAGTATCGATGCAAAAATTAAATTGAGAAGGTAGTATGTGTTTTTTTATGTAAGAAAATTCTTGAATATTGTGCCTGGGATCTACACACATTTTTTTGTAATTATTTAAACCTCAAACTAAATAAAATTTTATTTCTAGCCACCATATTTTCAGTTAGCTATGAAAAATCCTAAAGAATTTGTTATTATATGTAATATTATATGTATACAAGGTGTGTTCCGAAGCCAACAGGACTTTTTGAATCTAGCGCCCTCTAGTGGCGACTAGTACGTTAGAATCTGCTATCCTTTATCGACTTCCAGTAAAAATTTCATGCCATTTCATATGTTGGAAGTGAAGTTATTGCGTTTTAAGTGTCAGTATGTTTTTGTCATCGGTGCGAAATTGAGCTTCGAACAAAGAGCCAACCTTAAATTTTATTTTAAAATTGGTAAAACTTTTAACGAAACGTTTCAATTGACGAAACAAGTTTATGGCGATGATTGAAAATAATTTAACATCTCCGAAACATCGATTTATCGGATTTTGACCGAACATTTGGGCTTTCAATAGGTGTATGCACGATTTGTTCCGCACAAATTTACTGACGATCACAATTCAACATTCGAAGGACATCATTAAAGAGGCAAAAAAAAGACCAGTACTTCCTTTACAAGATTGTGACTGGTGGCGAAACGTGCGGTTTTCAATATGATCCCGAAACGAAACGCCAGAGTGCTGAATGGAAGGCGCCGCACGAGCCGAAACCCAAAAAATCGCGCTTGAAGAAGTCAAAAGTGAAGACAATGCTGATTTGTTTTTATGATTCCAAGGTTATTGTCCACAACGAATTTGTTCCACCCGGCCAAAATGTTAATGCGGTATTCTACCTTGGAGTTTTGAAGCGTTTGGTGCGCCGTATTCGACGTGTTCGGCTCGAATATCGCGCAGATGGAAGTTGGCGTTTGCTGCACGATAATGCGATCGACGCTTGTGGCCGATTATTTGACCAAAAATCACATTTTAACAATCAACCACTCCTCGTATTCTCCTGATGTGGCACTGTGCGACTTCTACCTTTTCGGAAAAATGCATTTGTCGATGAAACGAAAGTGTTATGCAGACGTGAAGGCCGTTCAAAAGGCTTACTGCGGCATACTGGCGGCCATACCGGGCAAAAACACTGTTGTTGTTGTTACAGCGGTTAGCTAAAACACTCGTTCGGCATGCTTTTGGACCGTGCAAAAAGCTGCATTAAAGCAGAAGGAGACTATTTTGAATAAAATAAATTGCTTTTGCTGATAAAACGATTTGTTCGGTCTTTTTTCAAAGTCCTGTTTACTTTGGAAAGCGCCTTGTATATTTAGTAACTCCATTAAAAAAAAAAAGGAAAATTAAAACCAAATACTAAAAATTTAAAAATATTAAATTATATTTGTCTGCAGCCAAAGTTTAATTTTTTATTTCTAATTTTTTATTATTAAATATTGTATAATTTTTTTTATTTATTTTTATTATTTATTATTAAATTTTTATTATTAATTATTGTATAATTTTTTTATTATTTATTTTTAATTTTTTATTATTTATTATTAATTTTTTATTATTAATTATTGTATATTTTTTTTTTTATTTATTTTTATTATTTATTTTTAATTTTTTATTTTTTATTATTTATTATTAATTTTTTATTATTTATTTTTAATTTCTTATTATTAATTATTGTATAATTTTTTTATTATTTATTTTTAATTTTTTATTATTTATTATTAATTTCTTATTATTAATTATTGTATAATTTTTTTTTATTTATTTTTATTATTTATTATTAATTTTTTATTATTAATTATTGTATAATTTTTTTACTTCTGTTTTTTAATATTTATTTCCTATTTAATTTTTTTTAAGTCTTTTCCTTTTACTTTTTTATTTCTTTTTTTATAATTTTTTATTGCATTTTTAAACTGTTTTATTTGGTTTTATTTATTTGTTTTTATTAAATTTTCTTTATTACATTTTTGTTTATTATGTTTTATTTTATTTTTTTTTTGCTCAAAATTTTCATATTAAGCACATTTCTTTCTTTCTTCTTTAAGTGAGATGGCTCTACAAAAAAACTTAAATAAATAAAAAGAAAAAAATTTGTGTAAACTCAGTAGTCAATACGCGGTTTTCAATACCTCAAGGAACTTTCGCCGTCATTTTCCGTAGAAACCGCCGAGTCTAATGTTCGGTTTCAACCTTAAATGCTAGGTTCTCTATTTATTCTCTGATGTATATATGTACATATTTTCAAATAATATTAAAATAACAGTAAATAATTTTTATTCATATATTTTTATTTTCAATTCTTTTTATTGCATTTAATACACACGCCTTATAAGTACTTTTTTTTTTAAATAAATTTAAATATATTTTGAAGTACATGCAGTATGCTATTATTTTGTTTTGCCAAAACTCTAAATATTTTTTAATCACTCTATTTAACTATATAAGTATTTCTTTATTAATTTAATAGTATTGGAATTGCTTTGATAGGTTTTCTTTACGTTTGATTTTGCTTATTGTATGCCGTTATTCTCTGAATAAATAGTTTTTTTTTTTAACATATGTATGTATGTATTTACCTTATACTATTTTTTCTATAAATCAGTACTCAATTTTTTTTAAGCAATTTCATTCGCATATTTTTCCTAAAAACATTATGCTACCGAATTACACTCGAATAATTTTTTTTTTTTTTACAAGACGAGTGAAGTTATAACCAAAATATTACATATGATTAAATTTGTATTCGAGTTACTGAAGAAATTGTTTTTTTTTTTTATTTTGTTCTCGCCTATAATTTGGTTGTGCAGTGCAAAGAAATACAAGAAAAATAAAAAATAGTGAAATTGACAGAAAAAATAATTAAATTTGTATTAAAATATAAATCATAAAAAAGCCTGTCTGGTACATACATATAACAAAAAATGAACAACCGAAATAATATATAAGAAAACGAATACCGCTTTGAGCTATACATTTTTTCGCCAAAAAAAGGGATCTGATATTTCGAAAACTTAAAAAAAACTGTTTTTAAAGTCATAAGGCAATGGTATATCTTAAAATAAACAAAATCTGTACTGTGTACTGAGATTACTATACAAACGAAGCGAAATATCAAACTTTTTTTTTATTTAATAAAATGAAAAATTATATTTAATGACTTTGATAAAAATAATTCTTTTCCTAATTTGATATAAAACAAAAAAATTTTCATTCAATACATTTTGTTTTGCCAATTTAATAATAAAAATATTTGTTTTTTAATAAAAAATGAAAAATGTATTTTTTTTTAATAAAAATTGAAAAATATCTGCTTTTTTAATAAAAAATGTATTTAAAAAAAAAAAAATATGTTTTACATATATACATATATATGTACATATACATACATATATACGTATACATGTATATATTTAGCATAAATGCACGAACGAAGTTGATTGATCGTAAAAAAAAATGTAAATATAATACTAGCTGCATGTACATACATACATATGTATGCATGCTCGTACATGCAAAGATATTGCTTAGCAATTATTCTATTTTAATCTAATTTATTTTAATTATTATTATTTTAATTTGTGTTAAAAAATACAATTTTTTTACTGCGTTTTTTGTCTTATTTATATTTTTTATTTGCACATGCGCAATTTATTTTATACATACATATACATAAGCGCCTTTTTTAATTTGCGATAAAAGAAAGTACAATTTTAATAAATTTCTCTGTATACGTATAATGAATTGTTGTGCCAAAGAAATATTTATTTGTTTTTTTTAACGTATTTTTCTTTATACTACATATTAAGCTAACGATATGCGTCTGTCAGCGTTCTACGATGCTTTTTTATCTTTCTTAACTACGTGTTTGTTTTGTTTTTTTTTTTTTCTTGTTTATCGCATTACACATATATCTGTATGTTTGTATGTTTTGTATGCATGTTTTTTGTTTTAATGTACAAAATAACTTCCTATGCTGCTATTGTAACGCTTTTGAAAAGCAATATTTTTCAACTACATGCTATAATATCGCTTTCGAATACATTTGTATTTGTTTACTATTTATTTTTTTCTTATTTAGTTTTAAATGTGTGCATGAGTAACAATTTTTGTATATATAATATAAATACTAAATAATTTTTGTATTGTATTTTTGATCGAAATTAATTATTTTAAATGTCAAATACATGTAATATTTATTTATTTTTTAACTAATGCATTAAATAAACGCATATGTGTATACAGTGTTTACATAAATATTTCGAATATGTATTATTTGTTTCCCTAATGATTTATGTATATAACTATTTGCAAAAACAAAAAAAAAAAAAATAAAATAAAAAAAAATGCACAACTCTTAGAACTAACTATGCAGTGTAAAAATATCTACGCGTGGTAATAAGTATGTTTATTAGTATGTATGTATACTTATAAAATTAATTCGAGTTTTAAATATATTATTTATTTATGTATTTTTTTTTTGTAATTTTCGCACATAATACTTAATTATTTTACGCTACAGAATTAAATTACTACCAGTGCTGCACTGTTGATACGTTTATATTGTATGTTTTTCTATGTATGTATGTATTAGTGTATTTTTCTTTATTTGTTTATTAGTTATGAGCTTGGGCGGACTTGGGATGCCAGATTTATCTCACTCAGCCTACTTTAAAAATTTAATTATTTTTTTTTGTTACTTTTTTCGCACAACAAGCTTGGCTTACAAAACTATAAATATGCACGTATTTATGTGTATGTATGTATGTGTGTGTGTTTAATTCTAAATGCGCAATTTAGTTATTTTTTTTTATTTTTAATTACAATTACATACATTCTCTCCGCATGCGTTTATCTTAGTAACATTATTATATATTTATGTTTATAACTTCTTCGACATATATATCACAACAAAATGGTATAAAAACATATTATTTATTATATAAGTAAGCAAAAAAAAAATAGTTAAAAATATACGTATTTATGTATATTTTAGGAGACAAACAATTTAAGCTTGCAAAATTCTTTTCTTTTTCCTTTTTGTTTTGTTACTTATTAATGGAAACATATATTTATTGTAACAAAGTATTATTATGAACACTTCACGAAAACGGTGGTGGCAATTCAAGTGGATCGAACGTTGTTTGCTGGAAATTCGTGAAATTATCAATTTTACGATAACCCCATAATTGCATGGCCTCCTCGCAGTTGTTTTGTATGTATTGTATCTGTAAAAAAAAGAAAGCCATTAAGCTATTAGAATCAATTATTAATTAAATAATAAAATAAAAAATAATGTTTTGAAATAAAAAATTAAATAATAATAAATAAAAGTAATTATTTCAAAAGAAAAAAATAAAATGTTTAATCAAAAAAATAATAATTGATTATATTTATTTACTTATTATATTTAATAAATTACTTAATTTTTTAAATAAAAAAAAATAATAATTAAAAAATAAAAAGAACTAATTTGAACTAATAATTGATTATATTTATTTATTATATTTAATAAATTACTTATTTTTTAAATAAAAAATAAAAAATTAATAACAAAAATAACTAATTAAAAAAATAACACATTTGATTAAATTAAAAAATTATGTAATTCAAATAAAAAATAAAATAATTACTTTTAAAAATAATTAAAAAATTAAAATGGTTAATTAAAAAAATAAAATAAGGATTTTTTGATTAAAAAATTTTTTTGAAAAATGATAAAAAAATAAAAGTTCTAAAAAAAGAAAATAATTAAAATATTTATTTATTTATTTTATTTAATAAAATAATTAATGTTTTGAAATAAAAATTTAAATAATAATACATAAAAGTAATTATTTCAAAAGAAAAAATGAAATGTTTAATGAAAAAAAAAATAATAATTGATTATATTTATTTATTCATTATTTTTTGATTTTTTGAATAAAAAAAATATGAAAAAATTATAAAAGAAGAAAATAAAATGTTTAATTAATTTTTGAAATAAAAAATAAAAAATTAATAACAAAAATAACTAATTAAAAAAAGATTAAATTAAAAAATTAAATAATTCAAATAAAAAATTAATTAATTACTTTTAAAAATAATTAAAAAATTAAAATGGTTAATTAAAAAAATAAAATAAGGATTTGTTGATTAAAAATTTTTTTTTAAAATATAATAAAAAATATATTAAAAAAAATAAAAGTTCTAAAAAAAGAAAATAATTAAAATATTTATTTATTTATTTTTTCTAATAAAATAATTAATGTTTTGAAATAAAAAATTTAATAATAATAAATAAAAGTAATTATTTCAAAATAAAAAAAATAAAATGTTTAATTAAAAAAATAATAATTGATTATATTTATTTTTATACTTAATAAATTACTTATTTTTTTAAATAAAAAATAAATAATAAAAAGAAGTAATTAAAAGAAATAAAAAAAATAAAAGTTCTAAAAAAAGAAAATAATTAAAATATTTTTTTTTGTTTTATGTAATAAAATAATTAATGTTTTGAAATAAAAAATAAAATAATAATAAATAAAAGTAATTATTTCAAAAGAAAAAAATAAAATGTTTAATTAAAAAAATAATAATTGATTATATTTATTTATTTATTATATTTAATAAACTACTTAATTTTTTAAATAAAAAATAAAAAATTAATAATAAAAAGAACTAATTTGAAAAAATAAAATATTTGATTAAATTAAAAAATTAAATAATTCAAATAAAAACTAAAATAATTACTTTTAAAGATAATTAAAAAATTAAAATGGTTAATTAAAAAAGTAAAAAATGAGGATTTTATGATTAAAAAGAATTTATAAAAAATAAAATATTTATTTATTTATTTTATATAATAAAATAATTAATGTTTTGAAATAAAAAATTAAATAATAATAAATAAAAGTAATTATTTCAAAAGAAAAAAATAAAATGTTTAATTAATAAAATAATAATTGATTATCTTTTATTTATTTTTTATATTCAAGAAATTACTTATTTTTTAAATAAAAAAAATTAATAATAAAAAGAACTGACTAATAATAAAAACTAAAATAATTACTTCTAAAAATAATTAAAAAATTAAAATGGTTAATTAAAAAAATAAAATAAGGATTGTTTGAGTAAAAAAATATTAGAAAATAATAAAAAAGAAATAAAATAAAAAAATAAAAGTTTTTTAAAAAGGAAAATAATTAAAATATTTATAACAATAAAATATAAAAATATTTATAATTATTAATTTTTAAGTAAAAAATTAATTAATATAAATAACGTAATTTAAGAAAAAACTGAGATAATTTATGATCTCCGAAACAGCTGTCACTTCTATCATTTCTTTTTTGTTGTATAACAAATATTCAATTCATACAAACAACAAGGCCTCGTAGTTTACTTAATAAAAAGTAAAAGAACTTATTTCTTTCATAAAAAAATAATAAAAGAAAAGAAAAATAATTATATACATAATTAGTTTCGAACTAAAAAATTAAATAATTCAAATAAAAAACCAAAATTAATAGTTTAATAAATTAAAATCAAAATGGCTAATAAAAAAATACAATAATTAATTTTTTGAATGAAAAAAAAAGAAAAAACATAAAAAAATAATATTTAGTTTTTTAATAAAAGCATATGAAAAAATAATTGAAATAAATAAGCAATTTAAAAAAGGAAAAAATCAAAATTTCTATTTAATATTTTATTAACTCTTTAAATAAAAGAATTAAATTAATAAATAAAAGAAAAAACAAAAAATAAAAAAAAATAATTGAAATAAATAAAAAAAACTAAAAATTTAAAAAAGGAAAAAATTAAAATTTTTATTTATTATTTTATTAAGTCTTTAAATAAAAGAATTAAAATTATAAATTAAAGAAAAAACAAAAAATAAAAAAAAAAAATTGAAATAAATAAAAAATAAAAAATTTAAACAAGGAAAAAATCAAATTTTTTATTTATTATTTTATTAACTCTTTAAATAAAGGAATTAAAATAATAAATTAAAGAGGAAAAAATAAATTGTTCAATTAATTAATTGCTCTTTAAATAAAAAATATTAAAAAAAAATAATCAAAATAAATAAATATAAAGTTATTTTTTTTTTTTAATGAAAGCTAGTAATAATTTACCTCTTCTGGTCGCAAATCTTGTTTCCAATGAAATGGCGCCGATTTCGAATCACGATACGTCGAGCTAACACCACCAATATTTACTTTTGTGTGTGTATCAAGAAACTCTTCGACAAGCGGATCGAATGGTAGCCCATAGAATTGTAGCACCTCTTGTGTCATATCGTAGGTATTTAGCGAGAGATCCTCATAACGCAAAGTTCTATAAAACAAACAAAACAACCCATGAGTTAAGAAAGTAAATTATTTGTCGTATCAAACCCCCGATTCTCTATAAACTGCGCCAATAAGACCAATATGCAAATTTATAGAAAAAAAAAAGATTTTATTAATTGCTTTCGCCCCTCGGCGGGGAATGTCAATCACTTTGACCATGAGAAGAAAACTCTTCATAAAAAATCCAGCAGCTGTACGGAGACGGTTTAGAATAAACTGTAGACGCAGGTATACCACAAATTGTGTGATGAGCTCGGCTGAAAATGGTTACGTCGGTTATAAAGCGCTAGTTGCCAGTGCCCCACCTACTTCCGTCTTTGTCCAGTTCATCACACACTCCTTGGAGAGACGATGCTGGAAAATAGTCAGCTTGGCATTGTAACTTTCGTCAATTAAGGGGACGGTCATCCCTGGTGCATGGACTCAAAAACGGAATACTTAAAACGTTAGAAGTGCTCGTGACTAAAAGTGAGCTCAGTTTTTTCAGGTTTTTTGTTATGTTTAACTGAAGTAGATTTTTTTTATTTAATGGGTCCCAAATCCACCCACAAGAGCACACGGAAAAGAGGTGTTCGCTCTCTGACTTAACTTGCCTCCAAACGGATGTTTGTTGTCTAAGAATACTAAGACCTCGGCTCTTCCAGAAGAGCCACTCTGCCTGGCTACTCGTTTGGTATCGAAATGATCGAAGAGGCTCCTCTCGATTCTGTGCAGTTCGTGGTGCTGCTCAGCGTCAGCTTACAGTGACCTTATACTTTTTGGTGCGATAAAACTTCAGACACAGTAGCGTAGGGGCGTTTCGTTTTCCACACTGATAAGGAGCGTTCAGTTTGTTGATATTGAACTCTAGTCGTGTGGTTATGACTCTTTTTTGGATTCTCCAGAGTCTCATTTGAATAGTTCGGCTTATACATGATCGGCTGCCATCGCTTTGTTATACTTCAAGCCGACAACTGAGTGTTTGTCGAGTGTTAGTCGAGTGATTTGAATGTCGACAACATTGTCATGACAGGTGTCTCCTCCATAAACTCAATTCACTCTTTATAAAAATATAGACTTGCTAGGACAAAGAAGTTCTTTAGTATGCACGAACGTCCTGATTTTCAAAACATTATTTTCGAAGTTGAGAGAAATCACTCCAGCGTTATATGGACAATCGACTGAACTACTGGATTTTCGGCTGTGCTCCTTCTGCAACTTTAGGTCTACGTATTGAGATTTTTTTAACAAATGCAGAGTCCTACATTTTATTCTAAGCCGTCTGAATGGGTTTACGCCAAGTTTGATTATCGGCTGATGGATTTTTCTGTTAGAAATTCACTCGGAGGGCTTGACATTCTCTGTCGAGGGGCGACCAAGATTAGAAAATATAATTTTAAATTTTGGATATTGATCTGGCCAGAGTTTTCGAACAATATTTCAATAAAATTTCATATCTTGAATCAATATATAAACCTTAAATTGAATGGTGCTTACCTAAAACGTGCTGGAAACTCCTTTAGTAGTGCCACAGCGGCATGATAGTCGGCGACAAGATCTTGGCATACATATTGCGGATCCTCACAATCTCTATTGCCGGCGCACCAGTCACGATGTTTGCGCGATTGCATCGTACCACGTGGGTCTCGTACTAATAATATCATGCGTACATTCAAACTGAAAGGAGAATGAGAAGGAAAAAGAGAAAAATATGAAAAAAGCTGCATTTACCATATAGAAAAGCTGCAACAAAATAAATTGCTTAATTTTTTTTTATTCTGCGTAAGAGTGAAAATGAAGCGCAAAAATGTCATTAAATAAAACTAAGTACATACATAGGTATTGTTTGTATGTATTGCGAAGACGTCCGTATAAAGAGTGGAATTATTAGATACTCACTTATATGCCAATAAATTGAATGCGGACAAAATTTATTTTGTGTTGCTGTTGTTGTTCACAGTTGCCTTAACGGCAATTCGATGAAAATTTTCCTTTTTATTTGAAATGTGGCTATATTTAGATACTCACGCTTTAGCGGTCAAGTTTCTCTGAAGAGTTTTACTTTCTAAAATTATCAGGTTTTGGAACATATATAATAAATAGCAGCTGCCGGACCATCCAAAATTTTAGTAACAAATTCTTTTGTTAGCACTCACCTCTTCGGCGGGCAATGTCAACCCTTCCGAGAGCATTTCTGTCATGAAATAAAGGCTGCTTGCTTATAAAAATCTATCAGAAGAGCAACAAAGCGGCAGTAGCCGAGAGCTTACCGGTTGAGCTACTCAGTTATGGTGACAAAGAGCTGACAAGGTCCATCAGCTGCTTTGTCGAAAAGGTCGGACGAAAGCATGCTGAAAAAGGTCTCAGCCGACCGCTGCGGGTTGGACGTTGAAGAATATACCTGCGGTAAGGCTCGTAAGAGATGATTAAAATCTAATAGTTTCCCGACAGTATTCTCTTTATATCGGAACGACCGGCTACGGGCTGTCATTGCCGCTCTATTCCGCGAAATCAAAACTAAATTTGTTCTAGTGAATGCACAAAAGAATTGCTTTTGCATCCGCAGAATTTGGGAGCCTCGTAAAACTTATGCGGCTGGGTAAACTATCGTCGAGCGACATCAAAAGCTCTGTCAGCTTCGTGAAGGATTTCCTCAAGCCCGTTCGACATTAAAAAAGGCTTCAGGCAATGCAATTCTTTAACGTGTGACTGCTCCAACTTAATAAGCGCTAAATGCGGTCACCCCTCGGCAGGGAATGTCCACCCATCCGAGTATATTTCTGTCATAAAATAAAGCTCCTCATAAAAAACCCTCAGCTGTTCGGAGGAGACTTAGTATAAACTGTGGGTCCCTCCATTTGTTGGAAAATACATCACGACGCAAAACCACAAATCGGAGGAGGAGCTCGGCCGAAAATCCCAACAGCGGTTACAAAGCGCCAATTATATATGTATCAAGGAGAGGGGAGCACTTGCGTGTAGGCTCATTCATTACTGTTGCGAGTAATAGTTTTGATATCTTGGGAAAAATTTTCTAACCTTGCACCGTTTTCTCCACTTACGACTAACTTATGATCGGGATGCTCACTTCAGTTTCAGCCACACGGCTCTTTAATAATAACATTATCAAAATGCCGAAGTCTACATCTATTTAGAGCAAGCTATTCGCATACTTGCGGAGCTTTAGTCTTCCCAGGAGACGTTCCAATGAGCTTTTTCAGATAACATAACTCCTCCGACCTTTTCCGGTTTAATTTCGTCTTACGACAGTTCAAATAACCTATCTGTGAATATATTCGTTTAGTAGCAGTTTTTCTGTCTGCTCTGCATTTCCTCCCTAAATCTCTGTGACTAAACGAGGAACAGTCTGTTCTGTGTAGCCGTCCATTGAAGAGATCTGCGACAGTCCCGTACAAGCATGAGTTTATCGTGATCGAGCTTAGAGCTTTTATTGCTCTCTGAGATGGAAATGTCTTCTCATCAGTTGCTGCTGCTGATTGTTTACCTTTGCGCTATCATTGTTGAATGTTGTTTTTATTTATAAATATTTATATACATATTATTGTTCAAATATATACACGCATGGGTATATGTACATAGACAAGAACAAATATTGATGAGATTGTGTTAAATATAATTAAATTTTTTTTTATTCTTTGATAAGTACATATTTAATGAAGAAATTTGTTTCAATTAAGCAAACATACATACACGGTGTGTCCCAAAAATAACCGAACTTTTTGGATATACAATAAAATAAAATACACATTATATTATCTTTGAAAGTTATTATTTATTTTAAATACGTTCCATTTGACTCAACACAACGTCTGGAACGATCAACTAGCGCAGGCATAGATTTTTTTATGTCGTTCATAGAAATGTTCTTCAGTACCTCGGTTACGGCTGCTTGAATGGTGGCTGGGTTGTCATCATAAAATTCTCCCTTCATCTTGTGTTTCAGTTTTGGAAATAAAAACTAGTCACATGGTGATAGATCAGGCGAATACGGCGGATGGTCGATGAGATAAATCCCTTTTTTCATTAAAAATTCATTAAAAATTCGAGCGATTTTTTGGTCGTCATTTAATTCATGTGGAACAAATCGCACACAGACCTTTCTTTTCCCCAAATCTTCAGTTGAAATTCTCCAAATAGTGTTTTTACTCGTATTGAATTCCTCGGCGAACATTCTCGTAGTAAAATTTTCATCGATAGCAATGATTTCACGAACTTTTTCCACCAGTTCAGCACGATTACTAGTTTCTGGACGTCCTGCTCTAGAGTCGTCATTTAAATCCGCACGACTATTTTAAAATCGTATAAACCACTTCCGTACGACTCATATAATCATCACAATAAACTTTTTTCGTTCATTTTTTTTCAAGTTTGACACAAAATTTTATATTTGCTCTTTGTTCCATTTTATTTTTGAACAATTAGCACACTTATGGTTTTATTGAAATGGCTGTCACTTTTACATCTGTCATCCGACTTACATGAAGTTAGGTGCGTTTGAAAGAGGATGAATGTATCTTTTTAATGTTGCAAATTTTCAATAGACGGCGCTGTATGTTGTATGATTTAAATATAAAGTTCGGTTATTTTACGACACACCTTGTATGTGTTTATTTGTATGTCGAGGTGTTAGCAATACATGTTTCAATTAAAAAATTTGTCGCATGCTATGCTTAAGCAGAAATTTCTGAAATTTTTAAAATATTTAAAATTTTATTTCAATTAATGTAGGTCTGTGAGATCTGACTAATTATAAAAGTTTTGATTTATTTTTATTTGAATTTTTTTTCTGCATTAGGAGTATTCTCTTTGTCTGCGCAATGCATGCTACGGTGGACGCTTTGTACAGTTTTCCTATGCCAACCGGTGACCGCTCAAATCGTTTTGTATCCCTCGAAAAAGTCAGTACTCGGAAGAAGCAAGGTCTGGAGAATATGGCGACAGGGATACGATCTCCCATTGCAGAGTTTCCAAGTAGTTTTGGACGTGGAATTGAGTCTGACCTCGCCTTTCCGTCGTTTCGGGGAGTTTTTTCAAGCAAAGCATACTTCGAACGCAGTGGTTTTAGTCGATAAAGTTTCGCATGGTTGGCACAATACTTGAACTAGAAAAGCCCTTTGATGTGTCGATCCCACTCTCTGCATGATTTATTGGATGGCGCAAATTCACCATAAACTTTCACTAGCATTCGATGTGCTTCAGTTGCATTTTTCTCCCAAAAAAAAAATATAAAATCAAAACTTCACGCAAATGCTTTTCAAAACCAGACGTCGATGCACACGAATTTTTGTTGATAGATGTGGAAATAATGAAATAGGTAATCGCTTGCAAGCTCGGCCACAACTAGCACGTGTAGTCGTTCTTTGAGAAGGGACCGAATCAATTTATATACCCCCAATATTTACATCACACAGTTTGTAGGAAGAAAAGAGCAGCACTGTGTCATTTTATAATTGTTGTTTTACTTGTTGTGTTGCCAGATTTGCCACGAATAAAGCAGATGACACGCGACAACGGCCGCAGATCAAGAAGGCGACAGATAGCTTTAGCATAAGTAGAAAAATAGGTGAGGTCCTACTCGCTATTTTAGGTACTAGCAACGGAGAGAAACTACTCAGTCTTCTACTCTTGCATTAGATCAGTTGTTTAGAGGTGTTTAGAGGGATTAGTACCTCTTTGGGAATGTCCGATTGAGGTGCTAAAATAAATATATATTATTATTTAGGTGCAGCGAGTATCTGTTTCCTCCCTTGGAATGCAGTTGCAAGGTCCTACCCTCACGAGCCGTGCTACAATTGTAAATGAATTCCTTATTAATTCATTATTTTGCGATGGACACCGGCAGGTGGCGAGTGAAGCTCAGCGATAACCTGAAGTTCGTCACATTTTTGCGTTTAAAATTAATTTACCTACCAATAATCAACCGATCCCTGTTTATAGCCGTGTTGGCTACCAACGAATCAGACATTAACGACGTCCGACAAGAAAAATAATCCACGCTAAATAACCTTTCTGGTGGCTTTTGCGCCACCACCATTTAACGGGGTGCTCTTAGTTACTAGCGGCCGGGATGGCCGAGTGGTTAACATTGCGTACTGCCATTCGAAAGTTTGAGTCCTGGTACACCCATCATCTAAAAATTATTTAAATAAAAAAATGAAGTGAATTTTCCTAACTGCGGTGGCCTTCCGGCAGGGGATGTCAAGCCCTCCGAGGGTATTTCTGACATGAAATTAAAGGTCCTCATAAATATCCATCGGCCGTAAGGAGAATGCTTAAAATAAACTGTAGGTACCTCCATTTGTTGGAAGAAAACATTAAGATGCACGCTCGGCCGAAAGTCGATTCAGGATTTTATCGTAGTCACCCAAGTAAGTTCTTTATCTTCTCTTCTTTTTTTATTTGATTTTTTCGAGTAAAATTATTATTGTCTATTTCTCTCTAATCTCTATATAACTAACCTAAAAAAAAATCTATTATATATCCATTAAATTTTCCATGATGCCTCAGAGCAAATGTCCAATATGTTCGGTACAGTCAAGAAATTAACTAAAATTGTATATTGAACTACAGGTGTACAACTTTGCTTCCGCCGTTTTCCGATAGGTGGCTGTACCGGCTGAGGCTGGTTGAAATACATAGATGATAATGCCTTTAAAGTGAGTGTGGACAGTGCCTAACGAATTGTCATCGCCGTTTCAGTGACAGTTGTTCTTGTTTTCGTATTATTCACGCTCGAAAATGTCCGTTTATGTGCCTAATTCTCGCCATTTGCGGGAAGTTTTACTTTTCTGTTACAATTCGAAAAAAAAATGCAGCTGAAGCGCATCGAATGCTCTCAGAAACTTACGGTGATGCTGCTCTGAGTGAAAGAACGTGTCGGGAGTGGTTTCAACGAATATTCACGGCGCCAAGGTTATGATTTGTATTTGGTGGGATCAGCTCGGTGTGATTTACTACGAGCTCTTAAAACCGGGTGAAACCATCACAGGAGATCGCTACCGAACGCAACTGATGCGCCTTAGTCGCGCGCTAAAAGAAAAGCGGCCACAATATCAAGAGCGACATGACAAAGTCATCCTCCAACACGACAATGCTCGGCCTCACGTCGCAAAAGTGGTCAAAAAGTACCTGGAAACGCTGAAATGGGAAGTCTTGCCCCACCCGCCGTATT